GAGCTACTTATTACTAATTATGAATGGCTAATTATTGTGATATTTACATTAGTTTTGTTGCAGTGTACCAAGGTGAAGGTTTTTTACCATTGTAAGTACTGTGAACAGTCAGCACAGTCTCTGACTCTGACAGAAATGGGATCACAAATCTGACATGTATTTTTATCTATTCCATTTTTATTTTGTCACCCAAAAGGGCCTTCTTCCAAAATGATTTGATTTAATAAGAGCATATATCATATATAAAAGGCTAGTCTCTGTCATCTCTTTCCAGTGAATAATTGTGTACCGGTATGTGGAACTGTGTACATTTTTATGATTAATAAATTGCTTGGCAAAGTATTAACTGTTTAATGTGTCTTGAGATTTCAGTTCAACTTTACTTTGAGAGATCTAATCCTCTTTAAACAAAAAAATGGGTTCTTCTCACTCAGCCGATACACTGATATGTGCAACTGAGACTTGTACAACATTATATTTTCTGTGTTCACACTCAAAGTATAAAGCAAATATGACAAAGTAATAGTTGAAGTGCAGTTATTCAACTACACAGCATTAAATAAACATACACATCAGAAACTAATTCAAATTCAAATGAGCTTTATTGGCATGACAAATTGTACATTGTATTGCCAAAGCATTTATATGAGCATGAAAAATAAAAATTAACAAAGTAGAAACAAATCTGTATTGAACAAGTGTGGGAAAACAGGAGAAAAAAAAATACAGTGTAGGCCTATGTACTTTCAGAGTTTGTGTGAATTCTGTAATTCTCCAGATGAGTTAGCAATGTATGGTGGTTGCAGGTATCGATGGGTTGCCATGGCGACGAAGATCAGAAGCACTTCCCTGTGTTAACAAATAAACGCTCATGCTATAACCAACTTGGCTCTCTGTGTTTTGCCAATACATTTGTTTAGAGATTTTTGATCACAAACAGTTAATTCGACAGTATTGGCTCGTCAATCTTACCTCTGTGTTGAAGCTGGAGTCTGGTTACAGTACGCTTGCAGATGTTCAGGTAAATTCAGGCATGAGACTAGAGCAAATTGTGTGCTGTTTTCTATAAACTTCAAATTATGAATCCACAATATAGCACGAAGCGATGTAACTCGAGTGATCCAGACATTCGGAGCTGGTCAAATGTAGTGTGTTGGATGTGTTTCCACATCCTCAGGATCTGCAAATATTTGTTGCAGAGGGACTTGTGAAAAACTCCTCGTGTCGCACTCTGTTTCTTCAGCGAAGCCACTGAGTTTAGGGTTGCAGAATGCCCAGACCATGCCACAAAAGTACACAAAAAACGCTGACATCACCAAAAACATGAGCGCATAAGACTCAATAATCGCCTCCGTCACCACATTCGGCATTCTTGTTATGCGCGGAAGAATGGTTTCTTCAAATACATAAACAGTTATGGTAAAAAACTTAGAGGAAATTTAGCTGAATGAATCACAGTCGCCTTCAGATGGGTTGTACCACAGCTGCTTCTGCCTTAATGACAGTGAGTTCATGCAGTGTTTCGCCCTTTGCAATAAAGATTGCATAATCAATATTCTGAGAAAAAAAGAAAAAAAATTATATTAATAATAATTGAATTGGCACCAGAAGAAATTCATATCTCCATTTAACTCCTTTGAACGTTACGATGTGGATTTGTTTTCTCCTGTAGAGCCAATTACAATAATAAAAAAATTATATATTTTAAAAACACACTTCTCAAAGTAGTATTTAATTTATCCACAAACAATGCCTAGCCTTTGACATACATCACTGCCAAACCAGAAGAGATGATTACCCCGGTTTCACAGACAAAGTCCCAGACTAAAATGTACAGTGGTGTGAATAAGTTATTACCCCCATGCTAAAGTTGCCTAAAAAGAGGAATAAAAAATCATCTTTTGGAAATTGATCTTAATGCCTTAATTAGAAAAATGAGGAAAAATCCAACCTTTAAGGACACCAATTTTCTTTGTGTATGAATAATGTATCATAAATAAATAAATGTTCTTCCTTAAAATACAGGGTGCATAAGTCAGGCCCCCCCCCCCCCCCCTATGTTAAATTCCCATAGAGTCAGGCAGATTTTTATTTTTAAAGGCCAGTTATTTCATGGATCCAGGATAATATGCATCCTGATAAAGTTCCCTTGGCCTTTGGAATTAAAATAGACCCACATCATCACATTCCCTTCACCATACCTAGAGATTGGCATGGGGTACTTTCCATAAGATCATCTTTCAATGCAAATCAAACCAGCTATTAGGCTAACTGAAATAACACCATGCCAATCTCTAGGTATGGTGAAGGGAATGTGATGATGTGGGATATTTTAATTCCAAAGGCCAAGGGAACTTTATCAGGATAAACATACATACAGGCATAAGTGCCTGACTTATGCACCTTGTATTTTAAGGAAGAACATTTATTTATTTATGATACATTATTCATACACAAAGAAAATTGGTGTCCTTAAAGGTTGGATTTTTCCTCATTTTTCTAATTAAGGCATTAAGATCAATTTCCAAAAGATGATTTTTTATTCCTCTTTTTAGGCAACTTTAGCATGGGGGTAATAACTTATTCACACCACTGTATGTTTGAGCTGCAGTGTTGGGGAAGCTACTTTGAAACTGTAGTTTGACAAGCTACAAGCTACTCGTAAGTTAAAGTAGTTAAACTACAGTCAAGCTACCCTTTTGGAAAAGTAGTTAGCTACACTACAAGTTACGATCAAAAAGTAGCTAGCTACATTGAAACTACTTTTGCTTTTTTTGAACAACATTATAAATAACTGAATAAGTGTCTGAGGAATGTTTTAAGTAAAATATTTAGTGTTTAAAACAATGCAATACAATTATGATTTTTATTGTTTTATTACACACAACACTCAAATATCTCAGACTGTGTGTCAAAAGTGCAAAATTGCAACAAATACAACATTGCAAGAACAAAATATACATCCAACGTAAATTGCATGTATAGACTTTTTCTTAAAAATACCGATTGTGAGATGGTTGCATTTTGGCAAGAAAATACATTGAACAAGCGCTCACATGTGGCACTGACAATGCACGTTAAACTCGCTCAAATGCAGTGATGGAGCTCGCAGAATTTACTGTGAAAGAAGAACCTGAATCACAAGCTGCTTGTGAGCACAGTTCGGTTCGCTCTGAAACCAGTCACAACAAATCTATACACCAATTTAATTAGATCAAAGCCTTTGTCGTGCGATAAAAAAAACTAAGATTACGTTTTTTGTTCAACTGACAAACACGATGACGCAAACTTTAGTGGTCTTCTATGTTCATTACCGAACTGGCGGACAGATCATGGCGGTTCAATGTAATTAAATCAGAAATAGAAATTTGATGTAACATAGAGAGCAACAAAGCAGGATAATTAATACATTTAAAATGGCCATTAATCACCTGTATGTGCGTCCTTAAATTTTTGCTTGAGGTATTCTGTACGTCAGTGAACCGTTAGCCGCAAGATGCGTGATTAAACAACAGGTGGCGGTAATGGCAAAACAAATTAGTTTGTAATCTAACAAGAAGAATAACCTTGCATCGCGCTGATTCGCGCAGGCTCAACAACAACAACAGGCAATGTAGCTTTTGCTTGCGCTACATCGCTACTTGCTGCAAAAAGTAGTTAGCTACTGGAAAAGCTACACTGTTTAAAAAGCAACTGAGCTACTGCCAAGCTACTGAAAAATGTAGTTAAGTTAGTAGCGTCGCTACTTGTAGTTAACTACTCCCCAACACTGTTGAGCTGTTATAAAGCAACTTGCACTGGCGTATCTTAAAATATGCCAAAATATCAGTGCCATTGTTTTGTCTCAAGATGCACATCAGTGATGTTTTTTCCCCCCAGGCACTTTATAAAAGCTAATGTCCTAAATTGAACTAAAATTGAATCCAGGCTTAATCTAATTCCTGTCTGTGAAACCAATGAGTCTCAAATAGTGTATTGTGGAAATTATGGTGATTGGACATTTTTATTTAAAAAAAAGAAATCGGTGATTTCTTATCTTGTTATAAGGATAATTAAATAGCTAAAGTAAGTAAATGCACACAATTAAAAAATCTCAAACTTGATTGAAAATGACGCTCTATAAAGCATTCTGTTTAAGTGAATTTTACCTTGATTTTTTTCTTCACACATCAGGTGTGTACATTGTTAATTATATAATTGTTATAGTGGCAATTATGCATCAATTTTTTTTGTTTTTTTTTGTTGTAAAAAATATAATAATTTTCACATTTTCTAATGGACTTCCAGTTTGAATGTAGCCTATAGTTCACCATGTCATCATTTACTCACCCTCATGTTGTCCAAAACAAGTAGGCCTATGACTTGTGTAAAAAAAAAAAAAAAAAACTATAGCCTAGCCCTACATAAAAGTAATTTGAAAATAGTAAATACATGATGAAAGCACAGAAGAAGATGTGACCTTCATAAGAGTAAACAAATATATCACTGACCTCTTCCAACTACTTTATTCAGCATTATTCTAGGTGTATAAATAAACTGCAAGAGAATTCAAGCTTTCCAGATAATAATTAACTTGTGACATGTCACATTTTTGTCACAAAGACAGCTGAATGGTTGCTTTGATGGGGTTACTCCCACTCCATTAGTCCAAAACTATTTTGAGCTGTTTAGAAGACTTGTAATCCAGTCATGGGGCCATGACCTGCCTCAGTGTCCCTCAGGGGCCCTTACTGTCACAACGTTTTGACAGTAAGAAATAATAAAAAAAATAAATGTACATGGTTTGTATGTATGAAATACTCAATATAAAAACACATAAAATGTACATTAAAAACATGTTTTTGTGTAAAATGTATTTGTGAAACAAATTTTAATGGGATTTAAAAATGTTGAAATTAGCAATCACCTATGCAGTATTTTTTTTCTGGGGTAAATTATGAGACTACATGTCCCATACTGCTGTGCGGTCAGAGTCCCGGATGTCTTTCACGCCGGAAGAGAAGCATGAGTCTTTTCCAGCCATCTTGTGGCATCTAGCAGCGAAGCGCTCGCACAAGCCCCGTAGAATCGGAGGAGAATCCTGCTGAAAGGGGGCCATCATGCCCGGACAACTGCAAGAAGGCTTCGGCTGTGTCGTAACCAATCGGTTCGCCCAGCTATTTGATGATGAAGATGATCCGTTTGAGGCGTTAAAGCTGGCAGAAAAGAAGAAGAAGGACGCGACCGCTCCTGGTGCCGCCAAGACCGCCGCGCAGGCTGCAAAGCAGCTCAAAAAAGAGACACAGAAAGACAGGAAAGTCCCGCTTCTCGACAAGAAAGAAGAGACACAAGCTCCCGTTCCTCTCAAGAAAGATGGTAAATATCGCTTGTATTAAAGTCGTTATTTGGTCACTCTTTTCTCGAGTGAGCAGTCTGCAAAAGGCGCTACTAAGCCCATGAGGTCGCGCACAACTCTATTGTTTATGAAACTGCCCGACACTTCAAAAACTTCCAGCTCTTTCAGCAAAATAGATTTTTAGCTCCATACATTGTTTCTAAGTGACGCATGATTTAGTAGAGCCTGTTGCTACTTAACGTAATTCTTTTCTAGATCCTTCATGAAGTGCAGGCCTAAATGATAACCATCAGTCTGTATAATGTCGGCTATATTTGTGCTTTTTACTCAACCGACTAGTATAACTCTCCCATTCATTAGTAAAAAAAAATGAAATGAGTATTGACAGTCTCCGAATGTACAGTCCGTCCGTTATCACGTGGCTTTTAATCAGCGCTCGAGCGTTGCAGCTCCAACCTCGTGTTTGAGGCAACATAGTCCGTCCTCTCAGACATGACACTCCCCATTGAAAACCCTCCTATTTTTATTTGCCTAAAGCCGTGTTTACCTTCATTGCGTGCTTAAAGCTCGCGTCAGACTGGCCAGTTTTAAAGGTATGGTTGTCAAAGTTTTTTTTCCGGGTGTCAGTGGCCTTGTTTGATCTGGATGAGGAGGCAGCGGGCTAGTGAACAGGTGCGCGCGCGGGCGGGCGCGTGATCAGCTGTTGGGCTGAGCGCGAGCGTCTATTTCGGTAGGTTGAGGGTGGGATCAGTCAGTCACAAGAGGCGCAAAACATTATTATAAAACAACTTAATTTATTGCTATGCTAATGTAAAAGAACTATTGATAAACAGACTTCCCCTATGCAAGTAAATAAGATACAGATAAAGAAATACCATAATAATTTGTAGTGAGTTTTTTTGGTATTGGCCATAAATTACGTTGCATTTATATTTATCATCCCTCATGTTTTAAACCTTTTTTTCTTGAAATACAAAATATATTTTTATGCTTTTTTGAGTTACTCTAAAGAAGAGTAACACGGGTTTGAAACAACTTGAGGGTAAGTAAATTACAAATTCAACTTTTGGGGGAACTATCCTTTAAGTGTTGTTACCTGTACACAGTAAAGTGCATTTCAAATTTTGCCTTGCCTAAAATGATTCACTTTAAGGGAACACCTTTTTGTCTAAATGTTTTTTTATTATTCTATTCTATTCCAGCATAAGACCATTTTATTCACCATTGTTTTCTTTGATAGTTGTTGGTATTGGTGTTTGGTTGAATCTGTCATGTTTCTGTTTTGAAGGCATGAAAAAAATGGGCCGCCGACCGGAGCAGCCAGGTCAGCCGGGACAGCCAGGACCCCAGCAGCAGGGAGGTCAGGGGGAGGGTCGTCCACCAGCTGACAGGCGGCCTGACAGGAGGCCACCACGTGAACGACGCTTTGACAAACCCGCTGATGAAAAACCTGCTGAGGGTGGAGAATTCTCTGTGGAGAAGTGAGTCAATTGACCCTTTTTGTGTTGTAAATCCTTAATGAAGTTTTGTATTAAAAACATTTAATTTGCCAGCAGAAGTATACTTTGGTTTTTAATGCCTCTGTTCATGCTTTTTTTAATTTTATCTCTGATAAAGTCAGCATGACATTTAAGAAAAAAGCAACCCAAAAAAAAGCGTGTCATCGAACTTATTGTGAACATTTTAAATTATTTTTGACCATATATTATTTATAAATAAATATGATCGAGACTCTAATGATCTATGCAAGACTTCTCCAATCATTTAGTATGTTTAAACTCTGCCCCTGCTAGCTCACATTTATCTTCCTCCACTTTTCTGTGCACATCTCAACATCTAATCAACAACCAATGCATGGAACAAAGTCCCCGTCCTACTTTAAAAAAAAAACAATATTACAGTTGGATGTATGCCACAATATGTAAGAACAGCTTTGTCGCTACTTCTGTTTCATCATGACTTGTTTTACATTCTTTACATTCCCTGCATAAAGATCCATTCATTGAGTAGCAGAATCCAAAAAAATGGATAATTTTAGCAAACAAGACTGACATCTAACAGCTACATTATCTCTCCTCGTCAGGTCTGTCAGTGACAGGCCATTCCGGGGTCGTGGAGGTGCCAGAGGAGGACGCGGAGGCCGGGGCAGAGGCGTTGGCAGGACTGACGGCTTTGACTCGCGCGGCAAACGAGAGTTTGACAGACACAGCGGCAGCGACCGATCGTAAGTTATTTGCATCCGCATATTGGCTCCAATGTTAATGCCCACCGTGTGTGACATTTCAAAGCTAAGTGTTAATTTTTGTTTCAGCAGCCTGAAAGCAGAAGAAAAACGCGGAGGGGGTGGATCTCATAACTGGGGCACCGTTAAGGATGAGTTGAGGTCAGTGGAGCAACAGACGCTTTATCTGCCAAGATTGAAAACGCAGATGAATTTGATTCACAGACTGGTCAGTGAGGGTGTTTTGCTTCATTATATTAGATTTGTGAAATTGGATACATTTCTGTTTCCCTTTACAGTGAGCTTGACCAATCAAATGTCACCGAGGACACCCCTGAAGGAGAGGAACATCCACCTGCTGACTCGGAGAACAAGTGTGTAGAACACACAGAGAACATTTTAGCTCTGAATTAGCACCGCATTGCTGAGTCATTGCTTTCTATTTGCTGCCAGCACTTAGCATATGTTGTCGCCTGTAATGAAAAAAAAAAAGTGCTATGCAACATTAGTTTTGATTTAGGAACAATGGCTCTTTTAAAAGCATAACATGTTTAGTGTCTTCAACAGTTACTAAAGGAACAAAGTACTACTTATTTGATTCATTGAGATTCATGGACTAAATGGGTGCAGAATTTGTAGCTCAATTTTGATGTTTTCACAGGGAGAATGAGGCTGAGGAGGTTAAAGAAGAAGGCCCTAAGGAGATGACTCTGGATGAATATAAAGCCCTACAGGATAAAGAGAGAGCCAAAGTGGAATTCAACATTCGTAAAGCCAACGAGGGAACCGATTGGAAGAAAGGATATGTTCTGCACAAGTCCAAGGCTGAGGATGTAAGTAAAACCACAGTGTTTGAACTTTTTGTGTTCCATTGTTTTTCATGCGGACTGTATGTTTTTGCTACCAACCATTCTCTGACTTTTTATTTATTTATTTTACATGTTTTAATTATGCGTTTAAGTAGCCTGGAAGTGTGGTTGAGAAACCTGATTGTTTTCCCTTCACTGTGTAGTGTTGTCTACTGGAATTTAAAACTTCGATACGATACCTTGACAAATATTGACACGCGAGACCGTTTTCGATATCATGTGAAAACTGCCATATATACTGCTGTATAGATTTTTATTGTTTGGGTAATTTTGTTTCAATAGCTTACACACAGCACAGGGTGGCTTTATTTGAAACGTTGACCTAAATTTACAAATAAGACAAGTAAATAGTCATTAATAAAATAACTAATAAACAAATTACAAATGATAGCACAAATAAAAACTATAGAAAAATGAAATAAACATGGCTTTAAAGTTTTCAGGTCGGGTCTAACAGTAGTATTTGGGTAAGAAATACTACAGAAATTAAATTGTAAAATAACACTGGATGGGCTTCATTGTAAAAATTAAATACAGGTTAATGCTTACCAATACAGTTACAAAAGTCAAATTTAAAGGTTAAAGTAATTTAACCTGCGGCTATGAGTAATACAGCCTGAGTTCAGGCTGTGTATTATGAAGACATTTAATCACATTCATTGTCTTTTGTTGCTTTAGTCCTTTTTATCCCAATTAAGAAATGAATACTAATAGTTTGTTGGACTATAACCTCAGTTTAATGGAAAAAGGCGGTTTTATTTAGTGTACATGTTCACTTCCTTCCTGCAGGCCTCTGGTGATGATGCCGCTGAGGACCACAGCTTCCGCAGGCCAGCTAATGACATTACATCCCAGCTGGAGATTAACTTTGGGGACCTGGGCCGCCCAGGGCGTGGTCGTGGGGGACCACGAGGTGGCAGAGGTGCCCGTGGGGCCCCTGCTGCCAGACCACCTCGTGAACGCAGGCCAGACAAGGTATAGTCTATACTTTTGAGTATCTGCAGGTACGCATGTACCACTTTGGAGGAGTTCACACATCTATCCAGAAATGAATGTTGAAATCACCTTAATTATAGAGTAATGTACACCTAATTTGATTATGATTGCAGATTGGTCTTTAACATATTGGTCTTAATATAGAATCATTTAAAAAGTGGTGGTGTTTTTTTTTTTCACAAGTGTTTCATTCAGCAAGGATGCATTAAATTGATCAAAAGTGACAGGAAAGATATTTACATTGTTAAATAATATATATATTTTAAGTAAATGTTCCTGAGTATATCGTGGTTTTCACAAAGATACGTTTTTACTGCGATATTTCATGAGTAGTAAATCAACAGATTAGAATGATTCCTAAAGGATCATGTGAGATCTCTGTACGTGACTTGATTTAAAGGACCAATCAGAACATAAACAGATGTTTATTAGGATTGCAAAACATTAAGAAGCTGGCCTGATGGAAATCAAATGACTGGCTGTAACATCTATGGCTGGTATTGCTAGATGACCTCAGAGGATTAACCATAACCTGAATTTGGACTCAAATGGCCTGTTTTTCCTGTATCTGCTTTTTTTTTTTTAGGCTGGTGGAGTGTCTGTCCCTAACGTGGACGACCCAGAGGCTTTCCCAGCCCTGGCTTAAGCTGCCCAGATGCCACCCGGCTCGCCCAGGAGGAACACTCCTCCACGGGTCCTTGTCTACGAGGCTTGCATGCTAATGGATCCTTCAGCAGATGAAATGATGGAAGACTGTCATCCATGCCATTCACCCCTGAGGACTGAATTTTACCTGTTTTAGAAAAAAAGATGAAAAAATAAAAAAACAACAAAAAAACAAAACAAAGGACGGACTTCTTGCTATTCTGAAGCAAATTATTGGTTGAGGTTTTGTATTTAGAAATAAGGTAGCAGGGAAGTTTTCATACAGTGTTTCTTTTGTTGTTGTTTTTTTCCAGCAATTATGCCTTGTTCATGGATACTTTTTGTACTGCTGCTTGAAAATGTATTTCCAAAAATAGGTGTGATGAACACACCAGTTTATCACAAGGTGTCCCGTAGCTTGCTTGCTTTTTACACACAACTGCATCGAAACAACAGCCCTTTTCAGAGATCATTTCTATGGGAAATTGCAGAGTATTTTGGTTCTGGTCATTGTTATTAAACGCCTCGATTCCCTGAAATCGGGCCTTAAAACAGAATCTGCTATCATTTTGATTAAATGTACAATTAATGATTGACATCTTGCTGCCAAGACATAATTCAGATAATTCAGTTGCACTCGACACAAAAAAGTGTCTTTTATCGAATGACCACTGTAAGTAAATAATAGTATCTTTTGATACCATTGATTCTGGTGACTCAGGATAGTATCATACTCATTTCGCAAAGTTCTAGCATAAATACAAGCAAGTTTACACACTGCACTCCTGTTTACTGAAAAACGTGAGCCAGGTTATGGAGAAGTCCTTTTAGAAATGACATTTTCTTTCTGCCCCATTGCTTTTACAACAGCTCTACTGCATAATTGATCTGAAAGAAACCCCTTCCTGTTCAATGTGGAACAGCTGAGTGCTATGATAATGTGTGAATTCCTACCCTGCTATTAGACCTCTCAATAATTAAAAGATGGTCGATTCATACAGTGTTGTTGTGTGGCCTTTAACTTCAAAGATGAAGTTGTTCTCGTCTGATACGTTGGTTCTCATGCAGATTGGTCTTGTAATGATGGTCTAAAGTACTCTGAAAAAAATACTGATACTGGTCCTGTTATTAGCTGTATAGGGTCTTTAATGCTATAATGTAGTGTTTGTTAAAGTGGTTTCAGATTGACTTTGGCATAGAAATAACAAAACCGTACAGAAACTGCTATTTGTTAACATTAGTTAATGCATTAGCTAACATGGAGGTCATAAGGTCAATGACTGAGGCCGTAGGAATAACCAGACACTTGTTTAATGATTCCTTTCCTTGGTTAATTTTCTTTTTGAGTGGGTTTTAACTTGCAAGTGTTCATTTTGCAAAAGCATTTGGCAACTATCAGCATTTCTATTGCTCGTGCCTCTACTTAATTTGTTTTATGGATATGATGCATTAAATTGTGCGGCTTGTGGTGGAGATGTGCAAAGTTCAACTCTAGAAAATGTAGAAATCTAGTTTATTAGGTCTAGTTTTGCAGTACACTGGAACAACTATTTTATGGTTGACTGGTGAAAGGTCCACTCCATCTATAGACCAAAGTTTTCATGTCAATCTCTCCACAAACCTATTTACCATTTCATTTTAAAGGTGACATGACAGGAAACCACACAGGTTTTTTTAAGTACAATTATTTATTTTGTCCTTGATGCTTTGACTTTAAAGGTTTACATGCAATTAAAAACATTACATTAGAATAGTATTCAGTTGAGCTGATGAAAAACTGATGATACAAATGTTTGTGTGATTGGTCAAACATCTCGCATTAGAGTAGATAAGTTGTAGATATGAGTACTGTCTGCCACAATATTGATGCTTGTGCAATATTTTCTTGATTTCTTGACTGTATTGTGAAACAGTTCAAGTGAAGGGTTAGTGTTGGACAGTGTTTTGGTGGAAAGAATGAGTCTGTAGAATATCTCCTAAAAACCTTTTCAACTAACATTCATTAGTATCCTTACTCTTGTCTTGATAGGCTGATACTAGTCTTTTAAATCAAGCATTTCAGAGACGAGTACTGAGGCAAACTATGTGTGCTGAGAAGAATATGAAGTCAACCTTGCTTTTGTTTCAACCTTCCGTTCCATGAAGCCTATTGCCATATCCCTCAAACACAACCATACAAGCTTTCTTAATGCGTGTTATTGATCTTATTGTGAACGATTCGTCCATTTTTCTACCTACATTTTTAATTAAAATATCACTCGATCAGATGGTGAATCGTCAAATTTCTCTCATGTAACGTATGCCAGACTAATCCAATCATGTGGTCTGTTTAACCCCTCCTCTTTCTTGCAGTCGACTAATCTCGCATCTCTGCCTCCATCCAATTAACAAAAGAGAGAACCAAGTCCCCGTCCATCCTTTCCCCCCTTTTTTCTTTCATCTGTTTCACTCGGATGTACAGTATGTTACAATATGGAAGGAAATATCTTGCTACTTCCATTACAGCTTGAGCTCCTCACGGTTGTGGCTGGGACTCGGAGTAAGATGTTTAAAGATAAAAGTTTGTCTTTTGACTGACAAATTATCTTTGGGATGTCCATGGTTATTTTTCAGCATCCATATTACAGTTACGGTCAGGTCACATTTGAATGCCTGTGGATGATCACGTGCAGTCCAGAAATTCACTGCAGTCTATTTTCACTACATCCAGTGTCAACTTTCCTCCAGTTAAAACCAGCGGTTCCAGGAAAGGGCTGTGAGTGCTTGGGAAGAATTCAAATTCGTCCAAACGTGCCTCTTCTTCCTCGTCCTCCTCCTCTCCTCCACTTATTGCGCCGTGAGTGGAGATGTATTCCTCTGTGTAATCTGTGGTCCTGGTTATCTGGGTGGCGTCAGAGGAGCTGGACTCCTGAGAGAAGCTTTTGATGTAGGTACAGGTGAAGCTGTGGTTGGGAACTTCCTCCACCTCTACATTTTCGGGCTCCTCGCTAATGCTGGAGTCAAATGGGTGAAGATATAATTTAGTTTCACCCTATGTGGAGACGGGAAGAGGAACAGATGGGGAATGATTGATGAATTACATTTGTAGTTCTGATTTACACCATTCAACAATTCCATTTTTAAACATCACACTACTGCAATATGTTTGGGAAAATGAGATCACAATTTATTCATCTTTAAGTCATTACAAAGCTTTCTTTCGTCTCTGAAACACAAAAGGAGAATGCTTTTCTATACATAAAGCATATAGTGACCCGGGACCCCTTATGAAAAGAAAATACATTTCCCAATACATGAATAGGGAAATATATTTAATGGTTTAACAGTATTTTTGAAAATATACAGAATAATATGTTGTGTTAATATATTACAATATATTAAATAATACATAAGGAATTGCCGCTTTTCATATATTGAAAAATATGTGACAATATATTTACTAATATATCATAATGTATGTAATTTTATATTCAGTAATACACTTTATAATATATAGATGTATATGTGATCAGATATATTACTGCATGTAATATATTTATTATATTTTATAATTATTTACACTAAAATTGTTCCATATTTTCAAGCTAAAATATAGTAATTACGGTCTTAATGGTGTTTGACCAATCATCATCAACCTTTTAAATTCCAAAATAATAGAACATTAAACACCAACTGATCTCCCCCTATATTTATATTGAGCAAAACACATCAAATAACACTTAATTTTAACATTTGGCTTTCTTTAAACAGACTTTAACAGCAGAAACAAAGCATGCTGGGAACTAGAAATCTGTTGTAACTCATTCAGTGAATGTGTGTGCATGTATAAGTGTGTGAACATACATTCACATTTATATGGGAACATGTATGTGCAATATATGTACACAAGAAAGGATAAACATTTGTGAATATGACATGTAATGCTATTTTTGTCTTAATTTATCAATATTTTATGTATTAATATATATAGCCATTAATGGTAAATGCATATATTGCAGTGTACTAGTTTCCCATTTATTGAAATGTATTACAGTATGTAATATATCGCATTATATTCTGCAGTATTTTTTCATATATTTTTGTTCCTTAAGGAATTGTTAGGATACAAAGCCACAATAGCAGTAAATTAGCATTTTGATGCTAAGTGTGAACAAAGCATATACTGGTGTGAGCATGTGAGCGGACTCAAGAAGTCTGATTTCAGCCAATCATAAAGTTCTGACGAAGATGATGTGATTACTAAGCACTGTTTACGAGAAACAAAAATGATTCAATATTTTATCTATTTACTTGCATGTCATGTGAGTCGTTGTCATGTGAACATGCAATAGGTTCAATTATTGAAATATTAACTTGAAAGGGGTACGGCTGACACAATTTTTTGGGAAGCCCTGTAAATGATGAATCGTGAATTTCATTTTTAGGTGAAAAACTTGGATGCCCATAAATACTTTCCAATAATACAGCCTGAGTGGGCATCTCCATACATTTACCTGGTCATCAGTGTACGTCTTTGCACACTTGCTGTTTGCTGGATCTGGAATAGCTGTAAGCAGCAGACACTGGCAACAGTTTAAGAATCTATCGAGCAGAACAGACATGGCAGTGTTTTAAATAATAATCTTTTCTCAGTGGATTTAAAGCATTCTGCTGTTTCTTACCTTCTCTGCACAGAGGAGAACTGACAGATGCACAGGAGCATTAGACAGGCCAAAAGTACTGCTCCACCAGCCAAGATCACACGGGACAGTAGTTCCTCAGCTGAAAGAAGATGACACGGGTCACTTATCAAAACGGCTGAAAGACATCTTTTTTCACAAAAGCGAGTTGTGTGTTCAGTCAGTGTCTAATGCTTTTTTTAGCTTATGTTTTCAGTGCTATAACCTGAACAAATGCATACCGTCTGATAGTGTGCAGAAAGGGAGATCACTTCCTTTGGGTCCCTCCCCAGCATCTGTCCAGGCAGTGACCCACATATTGTAACACTGTCCTGGTGACAGATCACTAATAATATTCTGTCTCTTTGGATAGTCCACATCTACAATCAAAGTTAGGCATCAGAAAGCTCCTATTAAAAAGCACTAATATTACTGAACATCCCAAGCAATTAGCAGTCTTATATTGTGTTGCTTTATAAAAGAAATGTAAAAAATAAGCATCTGAGAGGCAACAGTAAATATCTAGACTGGTAAATTAACTGTAAGGTAACCTTACTGTAATTCTTAATATCTTCCTTCAACTTGTCCATCAAGTAGATGGTGTATTTTCTTAAACAGCCTCGTCTCTTCTCATGAGGGATTTCAGACCATTTCACCTGCATGCTCTTACTCTTCTTCCAGTCTAGTTGAGGAACTGGACCCTGTTCTGGAGCTGTGAAATCCAAGATACAGGGATTATAAACAGGAGAGTATCTATCTATCTATCTATATGTGGTGTATTTATATATATATATATGGTGAAATATTTTTTTTTAAGAAGTTACTTATGCTCACAAAGGCTGCAATTATTTGATTAAAAACACTGTAATAATATTTAAAAATATTTCTGTTTTTAGAATTTAAAATTACTGTTTTATATTTTAATATATATTTAAAAATTTATTTATTCATATGGTGGAAAAGCTACATTTTAAGAAGCCATTTTGCAGCATATTAGAAATCATTCTAATATGCTGATTTGGTGTTTAAGAATTAGTATTATTATCAATGTTGAAAACATTGCTGCTTAATATTTTTGTGGCAACCAATTATTTTCAGGATTTTTCGATGAATCGAATGTTCAAAAGAACAGCATTTAATTTGAAATACAGATCTTTTGTAATATTATAAATGTAATTACTGCTAAGTATTTAATGCAATACTTGCTGAATAAAAAGTATTAGTTTTCAGAAAAAAATCTTACTGACCCCACATTTTTGAACAGTAATGATAGGCCTATATATTTATATATGATTCAGGCCCAGGGCCAAAGGGGGGACCCCATGGACATCCCTGTGCTCCAGAACGAGGAACAACCCCTCACCCGCCGGACCTCTATTTCAACACCCCCAACCCCCCACCTCCCACTGCTATTTCAACCGAGACCCCCTCCCCCTGGTTCGTGTGTCCTGGAGCCGGGCCTGTATACGGACTTAAACCTCTATGATTAAGATTTCCGGATTGGAGAATAATCATTAAACCTCTAACCTGACTGCCATGTGAAGATGCCTCTAATGGATGCCATTTTGGGACCAGATGAGCTCAGAGCGGTAACTGCACCCTGATAGCATTCTTGAGGCTGTAGACCTGGACAGACAGCAGAAAAGTACAACGAGAGAAAACGTTTTTATTTCTCTTGAAAGCAACCAGCTAATTTTGACTGGTCTTAACTCATTTCATCCAATCAAACTTGCCTGTAATGTTAGCTGTGGTATCCAGCACTCGTATCCACTGAATCCCCTCAATGTCTCCAACTGGATACCAATGCACTACATACTCAGTTCTATGGCCTGCAATGGCAGCACGCTGCCAGGAGAGGGCAACGCTATGATTATTCAATAGTTTGTGTGGCTGTCGCAGGAAACCCGAATGGACTGTGAACACAATAAACATGGCTTAACTTTGCTATATTGACCACATGTGTTGCATCTTTTACTCATGAGTTTGAGTGAAACTGGTTATTTGGCTCAGTATTGATAATGTGAGCCAACAAAACCACAATTATTTCCCTCACATTAGCTTTGTTTAAAAAAAAAACCTTACCTGAAGAACGCAGCTCAATAAATTTGCCAGGAGATTGACCCTTTGAGTTAACTGCAGACACTGACACAGAACAGTTAAAACAGCAAATGCTCTTATTTCTGCTGGGTGGAAATGCATTTGAGCTCTTCTTCCTGTTCTGCTCCAGAACACTTATATTATACTTTTGAATCTTCCCCTTGGCATCTGATATATTCAGTTCCTAAAACAAATAAATAAGGCATTTTTTAATCACGCAGTTCACATATGTCTGAATGCATTGATCTAACAAAAATATGTGACTGAGTCAGCCATTAAAGACATGAGGCACAAACATGACTCTGAAAGAAAGAATTCTCAAATCCATAATTTCCTCTAAGCCTCTACTCTTTTTGTAAACTGAAACTGACAGTCGACTAACTTTTGGTTTCAGAGTAACAATGTGTTTGTGAAGGTGCAATTCACACTAAGGCAGCCATCACTTTGTGGTGGTTTGACCTTTAAGGGCCTGTGTGAAAAGTAAAGTGCAGGGGGAGGGGGTTGCCTAATGACCTGTCCGTAGAGGATGCACCGCTAAATAAAACATGAAAAGAAAATTGTTATGCTGGTAGATGAGGGGTACATACCTTCCAAAATATGCGGAAACACTTGTTTTCAGATTGTGGGGGGTTCGGTTCTTGGAGGTACCAGACGTCAAGCTCCTTGTCAGGAGCTAGAGAGAGAGAGAGAGAGAATAAACAAAAACAGTTAGTTTACAATCCGCCATGCTTTTTTCTTTCACTGCGCATGTAAATTCAGTTAAATGCTGAAGATTAATATATTGTGGGATTTATTTCTGTAAAATAATCTCCACAAAAAGAAAAAGAAAAATATGTTTCAACAGAAGTCAGTACTTCCCGTCAAAATTGAAAGTCTTTTCTGTAATCACTTCTCCTGTACATCCAGTAACACTGAAAGTTTATCAAAATTTACTTTCATCTGTCACCACTCAAGTTTGCTTCATCAATTTTTGCCCCTATTATTTTAAACCCCTGAGGTCTGCTAACAAAGAAGTGTGACTGTTCGGCAGTGACTATCCTACTACGTCAGTAGTGAACTTATCTAACACCATCAAGTACTCTTTCCAGAACACACGTAACTACCTACACTCATTTAATCCCTTTCTGTTGACTTTAAAAGATATAACTACACAATACTGCACAAATTAACTACTGCCTTCAAATCCCATAATTACAAAAACATGACCAAAGAAGGTCTTTACAAGAAATGTATGTAATAACTTACCTTCCTCTTTTGTTTTTGCTTCCTTTTCTTTACTCCAGTCACTCCACAAACCTACTGTATGGTTTATTTTCCTCCTGATATGGAACTTGTACATGATATCTGGCTGCAGTTTGGATATGTTTAAATTCCTCCTGGCATTAGTCTGCGGAGACAGCATAATATGATGCGTTGTGATATCTTAATTATGAAGATCTATCTAGTTTAGTTTAAAAACTCAGTAGTTTTGAATTTGGCTAAGAATGTTTGAATGCTTCTTTGCCATTCCTATGTAGAGATTGCATTTAAAGGAAAAGCTCATCCCAAAACAGTTTTGTCATTATTTACTTATTACCTACTTTCATGAAACACAAAAGGAGAATAAAAAAATGTGAGCTTCTGTTTTCCATAAAAATGTAAGTAGATGGAGTTTTAAAGTTTTAAACAGTTGTGCTGCTTAATATTTTTTGTGGAAAACGTGACAGTTTATTCTGGAGAATTTATATTTATATATACAGGTCCTTCTCAAAAAATTAGCATATTGTGATGAAGTTCATTATTTTCCATAATGTAATGATAAATATTTCAGGTCTTTTATTGTTTTAATACTGATGATTTTGGCATACAGCTCATGAAAACCCAAAATTCCTGTCTCAAAAAATTAGCATATCATGAAAAGGGTCTCTAAACAAGCTATTAACCTAATCATCTGAATCAACTAATAAACTCTAAACACCTGCAAAAGATTCCTGAGGCTTTTAAAAACTCCCAGCCTGTTTCATTACTCAAAACCGCAATCATGGGTAAGACGGCCGACCTGACTGCTGTCCAGAAGGCCATTATTGACACCCTCAAGCAAGAGGGTAAGACAGAAAGAAATTTCTGAACAAATAGGCTGTTCCCAGAGTGCTGTATCAAAGCACCTCAGTGGGAAGTCTGTGGGAAGGAAAAAGTGTGGCAAATAACGCTGCACAACGAGAAGAGGTGACCGGACCCTGAGGAAGATTGTGGAGAAGGACCGATTCCAGACCTTGGGGGACCTGCGGAAGCAGTGGACTGAGTCTGGAGTAGAAACATCCAGAGCCACCGTGCACAGGCGTGTGCAGGAAATGGGCTACAGGTGCCGCATTCCCCAGGTCAAGCCACTTTTGAACCAGAAACAGCGGCAGAAGCGCCTGACCTGGGCTACAGAGAAGCAGCACTGGACTGTTGCTCAGTTTTGCATGTCATTCGGAAATCAAGGTGCCAGAGTCTGGAGGAAGACTGGGGAGAAGGAAATGCCAAAATGCCTGAAGTCCAGTGTCAAGTACCCACAGTCAGTGATGGTCTGGGGTGCCATGTCAGCTGCTGGTGTTGGTCCACTGTGTTTTATCAAGGGCAGGGTCAATGCAGCTAGCTATCAGGAGATTTTGGAGCACTTCATGCTTCCATCTGCTGAAAAGCTTTATGGAGATGAAGATTTCATTTTTCAGCACGACCTGGCACCTGCTCACAGTGCCAAAACCACTGGTAAATGGTTTACTGACCATGGTATTACTGTGCTCAATTGGCCTGCCAACTCTCCTGACCTGAACCCAATAGAGAATCTGTGGGATATTGTGAAGAGAAAGTTGAGAGACGCAAGACCCAACACTCTGGATGAGCTTAAGGCCGCTATCGAAGCACCCTGGGCCTCCATAACACCTCAGCAGTGCCACAGGCTGATTGCCTCCATGCCACGCCGCATTGAAGCAGTCATTTCTGCAAAAGGATTCCCGACCATGTATTGACTATTGAGTGCATAACTGAACATAATTATTTGAAGGTTGACTTTTTATTATTATTAAAAACACTTCTTTTATTGGTCGGATGAAATATGCTAATTTTTTGAGACAGGAATTTTGGGTTTTCATGAGCTGTATGCCAAAATCATCAGTATTAAAACAATAAAAGACCTGAAATATTTCAGTTGGTGTGCAATGAATCTAAAATATATGAAAGTTTAATTTTTATCATTACATTATGGAAAATAATGAACTTTATCACAATATGCAAATTTTTTGAGAAGGACCTGTATATATATATAAACCGAATAAAATGCCTTATATATGTATATATATATTCATAAAATAATCCATAATAATAATAATTCTGGATAATTTTATGAATATATTTATATATATATATATATATATATATATATATATATTTATTTATTTATATAAGAAAATTGTTTTGTATTCTTCCCAAACTGGCTGTACTATACTGTACTGCATTTAATACTACTGAAATCATTTCATTGATAAAGATACTTCAAGACATACATTGTGGGAAGAGCAACAGTCAGCGGTTCAGTTTCCTAACGATAAAGAGTGAAAAAAAAAAACCTTTCTTGACATTTCTGATTCCAGTTTTGAGTCATCAAGGAGGGCTTGTGGTCTAGCGACCAAACTAATTTGTGAGGTTTTGTGGGTTTTGTCTGTGTCATCAATCGACTCTTTGCAAGTCTGCATTTTTCTTTATCAGCTTTGCCAAGATAGAAGAGCAGATGTGGCTTGATTCTGAATACCACTTCGGTTTGATCATAACCTAAGATTTTGAACAAGAAAATCCCCACATTTTAGAATCAGAAGTTTTACCTGGAGATTTTTCCAGTTCCCATTTTCCGCTCTGTATTGGACTTCAACCAAGTCCATGCTGTGATGGTCTGTGTGTAGGTGGCACCATTGGGAGGAGCAGTTCACATGAATGATTTTAGGCACTGAGGGTTTTACTGTACATAAACAGAGAAGCAATGCATCTTTTTCAGTCTACAGAACTCTACAGCTGAAATGCAGAACAATTCTTTATGTTTTTAAATAAAAGTCAGGATAAGATCTTTTGCTGCATTCGTCTGTAATAAGGACGTCAACCAGTGGGTTGGTGTAAAAACAGCCAACTTTGTAAAACTGACCCAATTTTGATTCTTTGGAATCCCCCAACCCACAACACTGCAAAATGACACGCAATAAAAACAAATATGTCTGCCATGTTAATCTGAGTTTATAGTCATAAATAGCTAACAATTTGTCTATCCTTAGTTTTTTTTTCTTCTAAGACATGGACAGGATTTTAAATGGGGAAGTTGAGAAACATCTGATATTATGCAATGTAAATTTCACAAGTAAAACCATGAAAAGTCTGGAGAAGCTTCACAGAAATTGAGAAAATACAAGTATTTGTTCTAGTTTTACATCCTTTAGCACAGTGGTTCTCAGCCAGGGGGCCGGGGCCCACGAGGGGGCCCCAGCAAACTTCCAAGGGGGTCTCAAGATTACTTAAATTTCTTTAAAAACGAATAAACTAATTTCTTATTTTAATTCAGCCCATTAGTCCCATATTTCCGAACTTGGATGATCCGAAGGAGAATCGTTTTAAAAGTGTGACCTAGACTTAAAAAATAAAATCATAGAAACATGGCCATTTAATTAAAATGAATAATGCATGTTCTAGTTATACCATATCTAAAATATTTTATCAGGTAAAAATTGTAAGTAAAAAAACATTTTTAAACATCCAGGCCTTCAAATATTGTTGTGAACAAAGGGGGCCTTGGAGTCAAAATGCTTGTGAACCACTGCTTTAATGTGTTGCAAGTATGCAAACAGAAAACTCCTCCACACACTGAATGACTGCCTGTGATTTTTTGCATCGCGTAGCATTTATGCCTTCATTGTGGACAGAAAACGGCTTGTCATTTAATGATTTTAAGGATGAAAAAACTAAAAGTAATAAAAAGTAAACAGACTTTTGCCACTTTTCTATGCAGAAATGACAAAGTTACAGTATCAGTTCAGTCACCAATATTAAGCATAACTCATTCTAAATGCAATTTACCGATTTCACTGCTTTGATATTTGAAATGATGAGTTTGGGAATTTCTTTACCTATATTGCTGAGGGTGAAGGTGTGGGGACCCGATGTTTCTGAACCCAGGCTATTAGAGACATTGAGTGAGACGATAAGCTGTGACATTTCTGAGCTTTTGATGGGGAATGTGGACCAACAAAATCCCGTAGAGTTCATAACACTCGTATAGCCGGGGTGCGGGTCACCTTGAACCCTGAAAAAGCACAGGTAAAACATCATGTGACATAATTAATGAGACTTTTACTTGTGTCTCTGCTTTGGGTTGTGTCATATGACCTATAAACTCAAAAGATTATTTGACTCTTTACTAACCGTAACTGACATGTGGTTGTGATTTTGGTATCCCTTCCTGTTGTCCAAGTGCAACTGACATTGCCAAATTTCGTTTTTCGAATGCAGGTCAGATTTTGTGGAATATCTGGAGGGTCTGAAAAAGAAGCACATGACTATGTCATGCATGAGTTTTCAATTCAAAGTTTCAAAGTCTCCACTCTTCCCAAAGGGTGAAGCAAATCATACTGCACTTTTCCAACCAATGTGGTTTCAATGATTAATTTAAACTCTTCACAAGCATTTGTTTATCTCTATCTGGCTATAATTTCTCTGTGTTTTTATTTTGCATCTCTAAAGGACATATTTCAAGCTATGTGAAGTAATGTGATATTATGCAAAACGCTTACTACACTTTTGGACCAATGAACCTCCCAGACTTTTGAGATTAAGATAAAATCGTTATTGCATTCACAAAGAGTAGCTTCTAGCTGATTTCAGAGCACAGAGGAACTTGGAAAATGCATCTAGACTTTCTATGTGTGTGGGAACCCTGAAATAAAGACATGTTATAGAAAGTTAGAAGCTTACATCCTGGAGTGATGTCAATTCCACATGGCTCTGGGTCCTCCATACACTTGCAGGTGAAGATGCTCAACTTTGTTAAATTCTCGACATACACAGACACCTCATTTGAATTGGGGAATTGTTTATACATTTGTTCATTCCGAAACATTTGTTTGGTGCATTCCTTTTTGAAGACGCAGGAGATTGTGAAATTGGAACCTAAAAGGACTTCTTTGCCTGTGCTTGACCTTACAGTGCACACAGTTCCTGTAAGATGCAGAAAAACAAAGGGAGCAACAAAAATGATCATCACAGAATAGCACAGGATAATGTTTGCACCAGGGTCATAACCAGACATTCCTCCTTACCACCCAATATTCAGATTAGTTATGGGTTTATTGATGGTTAATTCTTAAATTTTTAAACTTTGTTTACATCCTTAGGTTAGTGTAATACAGGACAATTCAAAGTAAGATACAGAATAATTAAATATAAGGAATACTAAAAGAAAAGAAAACAAATTTGATTGCAGAAGCCAAATAAAATACAAATTTAGCATATTTCATTCTTAAAACATCACATTCTTATTGACGATGCTCTTCTAAATATTACATTTTGAAAAATATAGGTTTTTTTTTTTAAATTATAGGCAGTTTTGGCCCTGTGGACTATTAACAATATCCAACAGTCAATACACATCACCACAGAATTCTGCCAGTCATGAACATTTCCATCACATCATCAAATTATGTAGCCTGCGTTTTGTTTAACAGCATTTATGGTAACGTTAGAGACAACAATGATGAAAAAGGCATTTTAAGGTGTGTGTGTTTTTTTTTTTTTTGCAATAAAATGGTTTAGTCTTGCTGCGGCTGTAATTTCATAGCTAGCATTAAATATACAAATTAACCGTTTTCATGCTTTTTGAAAAGTAGCACAAATAAATGACGAAGGCATGAAAACGTATCCAAGACTTTCAAATAACGGAGAAAACTTTGTTTGAATAGAAATCAAATCATGAGCCATAAAATTGCCCGAGGATGAAGCAAATGCTAAATTCAAAATAATTATGTCACACTCATACCTCCATGTGCACCTGCAGCCAGGATGGTGCACAACATGACGAGGAGCAAACACGTACATTCAGAAGACATCGAGCTCAGTGCTGAAGACGAAGATCACAAACTCACAAGACGCTCTGCGGAAAACCATTCAGGAAATTTTAAGCGTTGTCTTGCCATTTTACTTCCTTATTGAGAAATTCAACTCATTCTTGAATCATATAGACATGTGGAAAAGTACTTCTTTCTACAACAAACGAAGATATCTACAGTTTAGCAGTGCATAAACGAAGTACCGGTAGCCTATGGCAGAGCGTTTGTCGCGTCGCGTCATTATCACGTAATTTTTAAAGCTGAAGACCAGAATAGGCTACTTTAAAAGATTTGGTGGTATATAACATGATGACTGAATACTTACCCCTGCAAAAATGTTCGATTTGGCCAATAGCCATTTGTGCTGATTGTGGGTTTTAACGGAGCAGTAGAGCCGTCAAGCGCATCTCCTCTCTCTCACCTCTTGAAGAACTGAGAGCGCGCGATGTCTTGCTTGATTTGCGTGAGCTCGAAATAGGCTAATGAGCGCTCGTGACATCAGTAACCTCCTGTATATTGCACTAGGATTAGGTTACTATTAGTCAGGAATGTTTTTAGGTCTGCAAACTGCATTTGGATACAGATGACACAGTAAACAGTAAACCAGTAAAGTGCATTTTGTGGTCTGTAAAAACTATATTTCTGATGTTCCACATAAACTTTTTCATTAACTTATTTACACAATTGTGAGACAATTAACAGCAATGGATCCTAATAGGTTGGAAATTAATTTTCAAATTGTTTGAACCTTTTAGAATATTTATTAGATGGATCATAAATTAAAACATATTTTGGGTTGAAACATTTCAAGAAAAATTAAGAAACCCCTGGAATATGTCTTCATAAATAACCAGTTGTTCATGCCAACAAGTTGTTCAATTAGTTACAGTTTGCCTATGTTCCCTTAAGTGCGAAATTTAACAAACCAAAGGAGATTTCCATAGAATATTAAACTTAACATTTTTTTGTTTACATCTAATAGCCTATTAGCCTAGCTCATATATGATGGGGACATGTTCCTGCACAAACAACATGAATGACTAGTGACACTTAAAATCAAAGCCTTGCAATCTAGAATAAACATAAAACACAAAACATGTCCCTTTGAAAAAGTAAGGGGATTACTCTTAATTTATCTCTTTATTTAACTACAGTTACATCTGACGTAGCCTAATTGCATTATAGGCTACTGTGGATTTACACAAACAGTGGATTTAACATCAACATTTGAAGTCTAATGATACAATGTATGTCTTTAATGTAACCTTCTACCTTTAAATACTTTGGTCAGGTTATGAATCATTTATGCAATTTTATAATATTACTTGTTTAAAATAATTAAAAGAGCAGTTTCATGTATATCTGTTACAGTCACCAGCTAATAGTCACCGTCTGCACTACATTTCCCAGCATCCTCCTTGCCCCACACCTGCACCTCCTTCACAATTACCCGCACCTGCCATCATCCTCTTCTCTCACCGTCTTCAGCTGCCTGCTGTCACCTTGTCTTCACTAATTCATCTGTGTATTTCGGTTCCTCTCGTGTCAGTTGGTTATTGTTTGTGGTTTAATGGACATGTCTGTGTCTCATGCTGTTTCGCATCTTGGATTCATCGTGTCTTGGAATAAATCATCTCATTATTTGTATCTCGTTGCCTTCATCATCTTTTTGAGAACCTAAGCGTTACAATATCCCCTTGTCGAGATTGATATGGGTGATAATAATAATTCAATACTTTTTAGAGAGAGTAGTATTGAGTAGTATTGTACCCCCCCCCCCCCCCCCCCCCCGTGTGAAAACTTGTGTGATATTCCTTTAAAATTATGTTTTAAAAGATTATTATTATTATTTTAAAAAGTGGGCTACATCTTACAATGCAATTTCTTTAATAATTCCTTCGAGTTACTTTCTTTCTCTCTACAAACTTTTATTATGGTGGGTTGTAAATTAAAGACATTTGTGTGTTTTAATAAACTATTATTATTATTATTACTAGGCCTACTTGAAGTATACTCTACTGTGCAATAGTAATATATTTCTGTTATATTTTCTTCGTTATACAAAACTTTTATTTTGACAGGTTGTCATGAAGACTTTTAAGTTTGTGAGTGTATATGATACGAATGAACGACGATAGTTTTATCAAATGAAATGGTAAAATTCTTGTGAAGTGACTCTCATAAAAGGTCTGCGATGAAGTTCAAATGTGTGCATGTCCTCCTCCTCATAGACGCTGAAAACACCATGAGTGTCACGCGCGCTTCAGTGTGTAGAGCACACATTGCGCTCATTCACAGAAACACGCAGAACATGCAGAGTTTATTTCTATAGCAGTCTTTTTGAGCTTTAGTACACTAGTTTTCACACTAGTACATATCGAGATTTGATTCGTTGTACATCCCTACTTTTGATTTATTCTTTCAAAAATGGCCAAATTGCGTGACGTTCCGCTTTACAGTAGGCTAAGTTACATTTGTGACTGGATTCTGCGATTCGATCCGCTGCGCAAACATAGAGGGGGTGAATTTATGAATGAAAGTTCTGTCACAAAACGATGTTGTTACGAATACTCGCGCTTTTTAAGTGGGTATACGGAGATCCTTGGCCTTTCCTAGTGGGTATACGGAAATCCTTGACATTTTCTAGTGGTACGGCGTATACCTGCGTATCACGTAGACTACACCACCGGGCCTATGTGTTTTGACTCAATATTAGGCTATGGTCTGAGAAACTCATATTAATAGCGCTGAAAATATTTTTTTTACAGGAAACCTATCAATATGGCATTTTATATGACGTTATATTTTATGAGGACTATATAACAATAGTCAATTGAGGAATATGCCTTCCAGGCTGTGTGTTGACAAAAGTATTTTCCAAGTGATGGGAATCTTTCTCAGGATTGGTTAAGATATTCCTTGTTGTCTCTGATCTCAAGCATTCTCTGTGCTCTCAAGTGCAATATATGGCAGCACTATGCTTCACATTAATTCACATTACATGCATGCTCATAATCATAAAGGGACAACATAGGCCAGACTGTGCCCACCCACCCTTAAAGTTCCCATATATCATATTGAAAGGTGTCATACAGTGTCACAATAGTGGAATATTTGTACAGAGATGTGGTGTGAATGAGTCGATGACGTCTCCTCACGTGTGAGATGTTGAACTGTTTCTTAAGGGTGACACGAGAACTTTCTCAGGAAGTTTTAAAAACAGCTTTGCGGTGCAGATGTCTCTGCAAAGCACGATGGTTATAGTGTAACTGAGAACCAAAATTAACCTCTTGAGACCCACTGGCTAATGAATAACATCAGGTTAACAAGGTTTTACATGTCAAACGCAGCTTAACAGTTTTTTAATACATTCTACCTCCCATCTGATTGTGATAAAGATTATAAGAAGTTACATTTCCAACACAATAATGCATTTGCATTAGATTTAAATCATTTATTGGTTAAAAGATTCATTGATTAAAAAGCTTTGTAATTCCTCTGGACGTTAATGGCGATTTGTCTTTTTAAACAAGTAAAGAAATCACACCTCTGGAGTACAGAACAAAGTGTAAATAAACCCCAAACTTAACATCATTCCTGTAAACTAGCACAGAAATATAAATGTGTGGCTCCTGCTCAATGAGCTTTCAATAGTTCCTCTCATATCTCATGCAAACTTATTTAGAGGGCCTACAGAGAATCCGGCAGTTCTTTGTGTGCTCAACATGAGCTGAATGTCACACAGCCTATAAAAAACAACGGTAACGCTTCCTTTTACAGTACGTGTACTTACAGTGTGCTTACCTAGAAAGTACTGGCTAATATACGGTACATGGGTTAGGGGTAGGTTCAGGGTTAGTACCTAGTTATAAGTTATAACCCAGTAATTGTAATTATTATAATAAGTACATAGTATGTACCTGGGTAACATGACTGTAAAAGGAAGCGTTACCAAAACAACTTAATCACCATAACTTTTTGGAGACAGCTTATCTTGTGTTTGCTGTATAGTCGCTCATCCTTTTGATTGCTTTAGACGATTATATTTTCCTTTCACATTTTAAAAAATGTGTTGTATAAATCTCGTCTTTAGTGTTAATATTTGATCTGATGACCTTTCATCTGAATTACCCTAAAAAAATACACCTTTATTGCATACTTTTAAGAAGAGTACTTATTATGGAAATAATTTACTGTAAAATAATATTCTTAAGTGTGAACTGAATGTAATATTTCTGGACACTTAATTGCATGTTAATTGTAATTACATAAAACTGTATTACAATGTAAATTTATAGTTAAGGAAATTATCTGAATTTTAAAGTGCTTCTTTGGCCCATTTAAGTAGAACTTAAAGTGATAGTTCACCCAAAATGAAAGTTCTGTCAATAATTACTTACCCTCATGTCGTTCCAAGACTTTCGTCTATCTTCGGAAACACAAATGAAGATCTTTTTGATGAAATCTGAGAGCTTACTATCCCTCCATTGCCAGCTACCCAACTACCACTTTAACACTTCAAAAAGTTCATAAAGAGATTGTTGGTTTAGTCCAAAATTTTCTGAAGAGACTCGATCACTTTATATGATGAACAATTCAGGCTATTATTCGCATTTAAACATTGATCAGTGGACATAAACAGAAGCTCAACCAAACTGGCTTGGCGCGCAAAAACAACCCTCATTAGTTCTTGCTGAAGCTCAAATGTGCTGCGTAACACACAAGAATTAACTTCATTGGTTCTTGAGGAAGCTCAACAGGCTGCGTAACACGAGAATGAACCTCAGTGGTTCCTGCAGAAGCTCAAACGTGCTGCGTAACACACGAGAATTAACTTCATTGGTTCTTGAGGAAGCTAAAAAGTGCTGCGTAACAAGAGAATGAACCTCATTGGTTCTTGCTGAAGCTCAAATGTGCTGCGTAACACACGAGAATTAACTTCATTGGTTCTTGAGGAAGCTCAAACGTGCTGCGTAACACGAGAATGAACCTCAGTGGTTCTTGCAGAAGCTCAAACGTGCTGCGTGACACACGAGAATTAACTTCATTGGTTCTTGAGGAAGCTCAACAGGCTGCGTAACACGAGAATGAACCTCAGTGGTTCTTGTGGAAGCTCAAACGTGCTGTGTGACACGAGAATTAACTTCATTGGTTCTTGAGGAGGCTCAAAAGTGCTGCGTAACAAGAGAATGAACCTCATTGGTTCTTGAGGAAGCTCAAAAGTGCAGCGTAACAAGAGAATGAACCTCATTGGTTCTTGCAGAAGCTCAAATGTGCTGCGTAACACACAAGAATTAACTTCATTGGTTCTTGAGGAAGCTCAACAGGCTGCGTAACACGAGAATGAACCTCAGTGGTTCTTGCAGAAGCTCAAACGTGCTGCGTAACACACGAGAATTAACTTCATTGGTTCTTGAGGAAGCTCAACAGGCTGCGTAACAAGAGAATGAACCTCAGTGGTTCCTGCAGAACCTCAAACGTGCTGCGTAACACGAGAATTAACTTCATTGGTTCTTGCGGAAGCTCAAAAGTGCAGCGTAACAAGAGAATGAACCTCATTGGTTCTTGCTGAAGCTCAAACGTGCTGCGTAACACACAAGAATTAACTTCATTGGTTCTTGAGGAAGCTCAACAGGCTGCGTAACACGAGAATGAACCTCAGTGGTTCTTGCAGAAGCTCAAACGAGCTGCGTAACACACGAGAATTAACTTCATTGGTTCTTGAGGAAGCTCAAAAGTGCTGCGTAACAAAAGGATGAACCTCATTGGTTCTTGTGGAAGCTCAAACGTGCTGTGTGACACGAGAATGAACCTCATTGGTTCTTGCACGTCAAGCGAACATGCTTAAGCTACTGTCTACCACAACTGATGTATGAGTTGATAAATGTTTATATGTGAATAAAAGCCTACATTCAATCTGTTTATCATATACAGCGATCTTTTTGAAGCGTCAAAGTGGTAGTTGCGTAGCTATCTATGAAGGGACACAGAAAGCTCTCAGATTTCATCAAAAAGATCTTCATTTGTGTTCCTAAGATAAAAGAAAGTCTTAAGGGTTTGGAACGACATGAGGGTAAGTAATTAATGACATAATTTTTTTATTTTATAGTGAACTAACCCTTTAAGTACATCAACCTTTTAACTTTATTAGAAGTGCACTTTTTAAGTGTGTTAAGAAAAAATCATTAAAGTGTACTCCCTTTAAATACACTAGAGTGGCCTTTCATTTTAATATTATATTATCTGCAAGTAGTTGAAAAAAGTACAATACAAGTGGACATTCAATACAGTTAAGCACACTTCTTTTTCCAAGGTTTCTTGATGTTTTGTCCATAAGTGATATATAAAATAAAATAAAAAGTGCAATTTGACAGCTGTGTGTCTTTTAATTTGTATCAAAACAGTATTCCAGAGGAAGAAGTTACTAAGAAAAAATAACTCAGCAACATACAACATACTTGTGTGCGGAAACCAAAGTGATTCATATGCATCTAACTAAAGCCACACATTGGATGAAGTGCAGACAATATACAGAAAATAGAGTATCATCACTGTAAAATCATAAAAAACCTTAATGCTTATGTACAAGATGGTCTCATACAAGTGCTTGAATATGGTTGTGTTTACCGCAGAATCACATCCATCCCGATATTCAGTTCAGCAGTACTCTTGCCCGCAAGATATTTCTTAAAAACATGTTCAAAAGATCGTCTAACCCTCTTCTGGAATTGAAAAACTATGGCAAAGCCCTTGTGGGGAGTATGGGCTGAAATTAAAGACAGGCTGTCTGAGGCAGCTCTCCAGGTCAATGGGTAGAACAGTTTGACTTGTGAAAGTGCTCTGCCCTACATCTCCTGTTCCCATAGTCCTGTCATTCTCTTCCACTCTACCATCCTTCTTGGAAGCTATCTGAGGGGGAGAGAGGAGGCCTTCAAGAACGCCCAAGGATCCGAGTGCTCCATCCATGGCTAAGAAGCTATTAAGACGCCCATGTTTCACGGGAATACAGGTTAAATCCCAACTGAAGTCATGATGTGATGGAGACACCAACAAAGGGAACTGGTCCTCCTCCTTTAGTTCTTCCTCTGTAGTCTCAGAGACGTCTTCATTTCTCTGTGAAGCGGTTAATAACTGAGGTTTATAAGGAGAATCAATGCAAATCAGGTCCGTCGTGGACGTTTCTGTGACGTGAAGAACAGTTGGATAAGAGTCTTGCCTCTCCCAAGACGGATCGACTTCCTCAATTGGAGTTAAGGGAGGATCGTTGTCTTCAGAAAGAGGTCCCCAGGGGCCATAGCTGTCATCCTAAGGGGGAAAAAAGGTACTGGTAAGTATGGAGATGCAGTATGAAGACAATGTCTAATAATAGTTGCAATAACAGCTGTAATTTCATATCATAACTGTAATGCACTTTGAGTATAATCAAGTATGTTAGAGGTATTTCGATGTTTACCTTTACAAAACTGCATAATGTCAATGATAGTTTTAGACAGTGTGGTCTGCTTTTACACTCTTTTCTTAACTCAAATAAAAACAGCATGTTGCATAGTCATCAGTGAGCTATAATACAGACATGAACATGGGGTAAGGCCTCTATAAAATGTAAAATTTGTTTTACTTCAGCCATTGTAGAAGGCTTATGACTCCTGTTATTGTGTTAAATGTGAATATTGGCAATCTCCTGTTACAATATTGTTCAATCCAAATTCAATGTTGACATTCTGAGGACATCCATAACCATGTAATTTCTGCTACTGTGCCTCATAATGTTTTTGTTTTTTAACTGATCATCTGTACCCATACCAAAGGTGTCCTCCTCATTATGCTCGTCCAGCTGATTTGTGAATGCTTTTTTGTTTTTGCCAATATAATCAATGCCTGTTATGTTAGCTGTGGCATTCTGAAGTTCAGTATGTTTTTCTATTTGGAGATGGATGACAGCTTCAGAAGAGTGAAAATGCCGTTTTCCCATTTGATCACAATGTATCTGACCTATCTGAATTACGGTAATGTAATCCCTCCAGCCTTGTGAGATACTGACCAAACCCACTTCACAAGATCTAATTGACATCTCATTGTAAATGACATTGTATAAATAAACAATTACCTTTAGTAGTTTTATAGCATTGCTGTTATCGAATTTCGGTAAATTTTCAAAAATCCAATTGACTCCCATGGACATGCACATTTTCATCATTCTGTAAAAAGATTTTTTAAGAAATAAAAGTAAGTTATACACAAACAAACACTCACCTAACTTCACCTAACAACTATGCATTATATTAAGCTTATTTTAAATAAAATGGCCATTGTTTCATCACAACAATTTGCTCTGAACTCTCTACTTCACACTGACTGTGACTGTGACTGTAACATTATGAAAGACTGCCAGCATGAGCCACGTTGTGAAACTACTTGCACAAGTGAAAGTGCAAACACCAAACATCAAAAACCCCTAGTTCAGCATGTCACCTTTGCCGCACACATTTCAGGTACATCAGGTTGGCCAGGATCACTACAGGAACAGCAGCAGCCAAACAAATTCCAGCTATCATTCCACCTGGAAAGTACACATTAACATGAAATGGTCCTGTTGGAACAATTCTGCATTAACTGTTTATAATATCTTTGAAATCACTTTATAAGTGCATACTTTGTGAATAATGCATGAATATTATTCAGTGTCTTGTGTATGCACGGTATGCTATGCAGCCCTAACCCATACCCTACACGATGAGTAATATTGTAGTCAAAACGTGCACTGAACCTCATACTGATTCTCTTAAAGCGATAGTATGACTTTCTTTCGTCTGGAACACAAAGGTTTTTTTTTGTTGAAATGTCTCAGGGTTTTTTGTTCATCCAATGAAAGTCAATGGGGTCCAGTGTTGATTTGGATCTCAATGACTTTGACTAGACAAAAACAAAATATCTTAACACAAAATATTTTGTGTTCCACAACGACATGAATATGAGTAAACAATGATGACAGAATTTTAATATTTCAATATAGCAACACTCTTCAAATCTTTTTGTCAAATACTGTATAAACACCTCTACAGAACATTTCTGTAAAGATATATATGCTTGTTGTAATTGATTGTGGTCAAACTAATGTGATTTAAAGGATTAGGTCACTTCAGAATTAAAATTTCCTGATCATTTATTCACCCCCACGTCATCCAAGATGTTTATGTCTTTCTTTCTTCAGTCGAAAAGAAATTAAGGTTTTTGAGGAAAACATTCCAGGATTTTTCTCCATAGTGGACTTCAATGGGTTACAACGGTTTGAAGGTCCAAATTGCAGTTTCAATGCAGCTTCAAAGGTCTCTACACGATCCCAGCCGGTGAATAAGGGTCTTATCTAGCGGGGAAAAAAACCATTTATATACTTTTTGACCACAAATGCTTGTCTCTGCGATGCACCACGCATTACGTAATCACGCTAAAAGGTCACGCATGTTCCGGTTCAAAAAGGTAGGGTAGGGCGAAAACATCTAATTTTCTCCGCCAACTTCAAAATCGTCCGTCATCATTGTTTTACCTTTTATTTATTTATTTTTCTTAGTCTTTGCACATTCGCTTTGTAAGCACTAGGTCGGTACTTCCACACAGTCTCATGAAAGTGCGTATCTATACCACGAATGTCATTTCTCGTGCCATTTATACACCAAAAATGTTTTTTGCGTGCATTGGCTACGCACTGAAAACCCCTTGGGTAGGTTTAGGGGGGAGGCGGGTGGGGAGTGCGTGCGTATTACACGCCATAAAGTGCGTATCATATGCACGCGAAAACTGCGTATCATAGATGTTTTTGGCGTATAAATGGCACGAGAAATAACATTTGTTGTATAGATACGCACTTTCATGAGATCGGGCTGGTACTTCCGCCTATGTTACGCGTGACCTTTCAACGTGATTAGTAATGCGTGGCGCATCGCAAAGCTAGTGCAAGACGATCATTTGTGGTTAAAAAGTATATATTATATATTTTTCTTAGAAAATGAACGATCGTTTCGCTAGATAAGACCCTTATTCACCGGCTGGGATTGTGTAGAGCCCTTTGAAGCTGCAATGAAACTGCAATTTGGACCTTCAACTGTTGTACCCCATTGAAGTCCACTATACGGAGAAAAATCCTGGAATGTTTTCCTCAAAAAATTGAATTTCTTTTTCGCTGAAGAAAGAAAGACATGAACATCTTCTTGGATGACGTGGGGGTGAGTAAATTATTAGGAAATTTTAATTCTGAAGTGAACTAAAGTTTCTCCACACAGTTAATCCTCCAGCTAACAAACATTTCATTAACATTACTGGAAGAATGGTTGTTCATAACTATGAGAGAACCTTGCCAGAATGTTAGCAAAAGTACAATGCTTGGTTTTAAAGATCCTTGACCTTTCTCGTCTATTTCATTAGACAATGCACCTGTTGTCTTGTCTGAACTGGGTTGATATGATAGTTTGCTGGGACAACAGCAGGTGGCAGGTTTTCCTTTGGGCCCTTCACCCGCAGAATTCCATGCAGAGACCAGAATATCGAAACATTCCTGTGGACCAGGCAGCTTCCAACTCAAACGTCTAGGAAATGCGTAAGACACATTTTCTGCAAGCAGAGCACAAACAAAACATGAGGACACGACGACTGTTTCTTCCTGGATGTTTTTTTCAGCAGAAAATAATATTAAACATTCATTTGCATCACTCTCTGTTTAGTTTGTTTTAGCAAATATTAGATAGCTGACAGTTTAGGTTTAATGATTCACGGTCAAAGGCCTAAGAGTAACTCAGTAGAATGAAACATGAAATTGAACTGTTCAGCAGGGTGGAGATATTTAACACTGAGAGAAAAACGTTATGTTTTTTTTTTTTTTTACCTCATTGTTACACCACAGGATCATAACAGACATGTTTTAGATACTGATGTCTGTTTAACAGCTTGGTTAGAGAAGCTACGTTGGAGACAGAAACATTTGTACATAGCCACATGCTTTCCGCTGTTGCCTCTACTTCCTGTCATGCCAGAAGCCACATGTTAAGAATAGCTGCTGCTAGGTCTCATTCGCTCTAGCCGAGCTGTAGCGCCAATAAGGCACAGAAATTACATAGAAGACAGGAAGAGATTCACTCTAGTGAATATGTATCTACAATGATGCACAGCAGGGATGAAAGCCCATATAAACCGCAATTTTCTCTCTAATAATTTTAACCGCAAATATCTCTCTAATAATTTTGTTCACCAGAAGTCTATTCTAAATTTTTTTTTTATGTAGAAACTGTAAGTCATCTGCCATGGTCCTAAGCATGTGAGGCCCATCAATGAATAGTTAAATCTGACATATGGGCCTGTCCCTTTGAGAGTGACATCTTTTTTCCAACACTTATACATTTTATTTTCTCTTGCAATAATAAAATATGAACTCAACACTACCATAAATAACAACAAACTGCAGTAGATCAAGTTTAAGTCATCTGGATTTTCAAAGAAACTTTTTGAGCCTTTACTGGCAAAGCAAAACGACCCAAAAAAAGACCAAAACCTGCACATATACATAAACTGGTGGAACTACACTACTGTTAAAAGTATTATTCTTTAAAAAGATTTATTCTGAAAAATCCTGAAAAATGCATCATGATTTCCACAAAAAGCAGGCCAACATTTATAATAATAATTAATGTTTCTTGAGCATCAAATCAGCATATCAGAATGATTTCTGAAGGGTCATGTGACACTGAAGACTGGAGTAATGGCTGCTGAAAATTCAGCTTTGTCATGACAGGAATAAATTACATTTTAAAATATAAAAACATTAAAATATAAAACAGTGATTTAGTATTGTAATCATATTTCACAAAACTGTTTTCCCTGTATTTTTGATCAAATGAATGCAGCCTTGGTGAGTATAAGAGACTTTGTTAAAAAAAAAAAAAATACGATCCCAAATTTTTAAACAGTAGTGCATATCCCTGCTGAAAATAAACTGTGTATAACAGTCTAAGCTGGTTTGCTGGTCTTAGCTGATTAAAATGTTGTTGTTTTTTGCTGGTTTATGCTTCTCACGGAAGAAGCTTCTTGCTAAGCTGCTGGCATCCTGGCTAGCTAAGCTGTACTTCAGCTTCAGATGTTGTTGCATCAGTGTATGATTAAAATCAGTAAATAATATCTCTGAAAGAAAATCTTAAACAGCCTGATCCAGCTGGTCTCTTGGTTGGATTTAGGCACTTTTTAGCTGGCGAGGCTAGTAGATCCGCTGGCTGAACACTAGCTTGTCCAGGCTGTGAGACCAGCAAAAAAACATCAGTTTAGGATTAGGCTGGTATATATATATATATATATTAGTGCTGGGCAACGATTAAAAAATTTAACCGCGATTAATCGCATGATTTTCTTGCGATTAATCGCGATTAATCGCATTGTTACGCGTAAAATTGAATAATGAATTCTAAAGTAGTGTATTGCGCACTTTTGATTTAAATGTACTGCTACAAAAGTGCAATAACATGTGGTTTGCAAAAACTTTAAACAAATAAGGTGCTTTATACCAGCAGTATTCCCTTTACACTGTAGCAATAAAATATTTCTTGTAAATCTCAACTTAAACATTAACGTAATCAAATCAAATATTTAAACAAAGCTATTTGCCACTGCCAGGGCATTACCTTTTATCTAGCTAGTTAAAACGAGTCCAGTTTTCTTTTTTCTTTTTTTTCTGAACAGGTATCTTGTATCAGGGAGCAGCAGAAACAGTCTATGTAGTCAAAGGGTCATGATCACTACAGATATAAGTCGACCAACGTTACTTCTCTGATAGCAGCTTAGGTTTGGTCATGGCATGCCATGGTTTCCCACGTAAGATTACATTAAACAGAGGTAAAGCCCAATTTATACTTCTGCGTCGAACTCACGCCGTAGCTGTGTAGCGCGCGTACCCTGACGTGCATCTCTCCAAAAATGTAACTCAATTCTACGCGTACCGCAAGCGCTGTGATTGCTAGAACCGCTCCCCGGGTTTCACACTCTCCCTCTGCATGTGTAATTGCGCGTCAACGCGGACAACGACGCAGATATATAAATGAAAACCAACGCGTAGTCTATAGCGTAGAGAGGCTCCGGTGTAGGTCCGACGCAGAAGTATAAATCAGCCTAGAGTGAGGTGAAGTGGTCGAGCACAGGTGCAGCGACAAGCGGTTGCGTTCCTGTGAAACTATTGCGGTCATGCTCGCCTCACGCACGCGCCCGCGCGTTGCCGAAGTTGAATTGTCTAACTTTTTGTACACGACGCGCAGCACAAATCATTGGAAGAGAGACTGATCCTCGGCTCGCTGTTTGTGAGTTTCCAGAATCTAAATAGTTATCAGGACATCAACAGGAGGGAATTCACATGGCAGAGCATCCCCGCTAAACTAAACGCAGGCCTATCAGGTAAAGTTATGTATAATTTTAATTTAAGTTAAAAAGGCTACAGTTGCGTAGCGCACAGAAGCCGTGGCCATGGTTACTATCCATAGAGCGCCTGTCATTCACTCGCGGAGCGCTGTCTCCCTTTCTGTTCACCTGAGAGAACCTGCCAAAGCCTCTCCACTGCTTGTTTGGGTGGGTTATTTGCTGGCTGACCAACATCCCACCCCTCCTGTGATCATGGTTTGACTGTAGGCCTATTTGTATTCAGAGCCAGTGAGCAACGGACTTTCAAAATAATAATAAAAAAAAAACTGCGTTAACGCGCGATAAAAAAATTGTCGGCATTAATTAATAAATGCGTTAACGCGATAATAACGCGTTAACTTGCCCAGCACTAATATATATATATATATATATATATATATATATATATATATATATATATAAATATATATTGTTTAAGAATAATTCACCAATGCAACAACAACAAGATATACAACCGAAACCTTTTAAAAGTGGTTCCCATGTTAGATGCTTCCAAAATCAATTTTACACTTATTTACACAGCTTATTTACACTAAATGTTTTGCTGTATTAGCTCAGAATACACTCTGAACATCTGTTTTAGAACTGTAATGTAGAAGTGTAGGGGAGTGGGTTTACTGGAAGAGGATGTGAACCTTTTCAGTAAATGGTGGAAAACCCTGCTGCCAAACTGTGGGTGTGACAGTGATGAGTCTCAAACCAAAGACAGGTAGAGTCTTTCCACTGTGCTAAATGCATGAAGGTGCACTGCATCACTTGTGGGGTGAGGTTAAAGACACCTGAGGTGTTTTGAAAAAAAAACACAAAAAAAAATTGCTTTTATGTCGAGACAGTGTTAATAAAAAAAAACTAAAGTTCTGATTCTCTGTGTACAAACCACGTGACTACTCCCCTCAGCCACATTCAGACATAAACCACAGCCCAAGTTAACACACTCACAAACAACTGTTTTACTTACGGTTCTGAATAAGTCTCTTGTCTCTATGTCTCTGGAAATAAATGGTGTAGTTTTTGATAAATCCCCTTTGTTTTTCTTGTGCGAGCTCATCCCATTGGATCAAAATCTGCTTTTTCCCTACAGTCGTAATTGATACATCTGGACCGGATAGAGGCTCTAAAATAAAAAACAAAAGAGGTGCATTAAGTGCATCTTCAATCACTGAGTAGCAAAATGTTAAATAATTGATATAAACTCTTTAACTATTTGTATTTACAACCTACCCATAAACTGACTAACTTTTGACAAATTCTCTGTTACTGCCCTCTTGTGGCAATTTCGAGGGAAGGAGGGGATTATTGCTATACTTTTTGGTTGTTGTTTTGTAAGAAATGTTTGGCCTAATGTTTTGAAAACATATTAGGAAATAGTACTTATATTACTAAATTAAGTAATTGTAATATTGTTAATCAAATTTATAGCTTAATAGATTCAGATGGGTGGGGGGGGGGGGGGGGGGGGGGGGGGATAGGGGGCAACTGCAAATATACAAGTGAACATGAACTTACTCTTTTCCCTGGCATAAACCTGAACAAATGCAGGATCTGAAACTCCACTGGCTTCTTCAGCATATAATGAAATGTTATACAGGACACCGGCTTGCATACCTGCGAGTTCAGAATTGTTTAAGGACTTTATAATGAAACTTAGATTATATTTACATTTATTCATTTACCAGACGCTTTTATCCAAAGCGACTTACAAATGAGAACAATGGATGCAGTTAAACTAACAGTAGGACAACAATATGCAAGTGCCATGACCCCGCTCAGTTTAATCTAATGTACTTCTTTTTTTTTTTTTTTTATAAAAAAATATAACAGAAGAGAAAGTGTTAATATTACTGGATCAAGTGCTAGATAATGGACATCATTATATTAACTACATCAATCTACATAACATAGGCTACTGTGTTTTTCAAACCCTTTTAAAATTATTTTAACCCTTAGATTTTAAGATCAATAGAACTAGATTTTGAAAAAAAATATTTCTTACCTTGTAGCAATGTTAAATTATAGTCTTTTCCTAATCTCTTCCATTCTAAGTGCACTGGGCTTTGTTGCCACTGTACAACAAAACCCAGAATGCCCTCCACTCCCTCAATGTAATGAGACATGTCCCATGCTAGAAGCACACTGCCCCCTGCTGCTGGAACTGAATATGTTATCTTGGGAGCTGGTTTGTCTGTGACACAAACACAAAGAGAGAAATGTAGGACTTTCTTTCAGACGAAGAATGCGTAGATGTCTCATACAGGTGAGGTTAAGGGTGCTACACTTTCTGTGTCCTACAAAACTCAATAAATAAATCAACTGTTTCTCACCTGTCCATAGCAAGCTCACACGTGTGGGTGGGGAGGACCCAGCTGATGTCACAGCATTCACGTTAACCTCTGCTACGCTCAGCTGAAGTGTCTGATGGGTGACATGAGCTGAGCAGTTCAGTTCATGGATCTTGCCTTCTTCTATATAAGATAACTTGTAATATAACAAATCTCCACTGTAGTTTTCTGGTTTATAGTGCTGGAAGATGCAGGAGAAATACATAGTCAGCAAGTGAGTTCATGTTGAGGGCAAAGGGCCGTGATAATGTTTTTTATTTTTTTTTTCTATATGACATTACAAATCATTCTTTTTAGTCAGTTCTTTCAATGACCTGCCTGATGTGGCTCACAAATGGGACTGAATGATTCATTTACAAACTGGGCTGATCTGGTACACAAACTCACTGACTGCAGCAGTTCTCGAGTGGGATAGAGAAATTTTGTTTCAGTCTGTTCCTCACATAAAAGCTATTATAATATAAAGTGAGTGTACAGACTAATAATACCCAGCTAACAGGGAACATTCTCAGAAGATTCTGTCAAGGTTCTCTTAAAGTTATGAACAAATGTTCTTCCAGTAACGTTAATAGAAGTTCGTTCAAAGTTATCTGGTCTTTATTTCCCCACTCTGCTTTAGATGTGGTATGAAAAAAAAAAATGAAAAAAAAAATCTTTTCATTCTACCTGGTTGTATCCTAAAGTGAAGGTGTTTGGGGTGCAAGTATTGAAATTACGTCACAAATTCATGGTGTTTTATTATAGGTAATTTTTACCAATTTTAACCTCCATCATCTATAATACGCTGAAATGTTGTTAAAAGTAGCTAAATTTCCTTGCTTTGAAATAAAAGGCAGACACTGATGTGCTGATTGGATTGTCGGGGGTTTGTAGCAGTGTACTTTTAGAGAAGATCACATATTCAATGAGGAGTGAATTATTTGATCAAATCTGGAAACCCTTTTTGAATTATATAAAAATTGTGCCACATAATTTGATAGAGTTTATTTCCTAACTATTTTATATTGTATCTATCTACATTTTTCCTTTTTGTTTGTGTATGTGTGTTTTTTGTCCTTTGTGTTTTGTCTAATGTTTGCTGTTATTACTGTTATATTGGGAATATTAGCATAACATGTTACACATTATTTGAAAGTGTCATTGTGTAATTATATATTTAAATACTGAGTAATATTAATTAACAACATGAACGTACTATAGGGTTAGGGTAGAATTAGGGTTTGGTTGAGGGTTAGTTACATGTAATTATGCATAATTTACTGTTATTACTATGGTAAGTACACGTAACATATGTAACAAGGACACTGTAAAATAAAGTTTTCCCGCAAAAAGTTCTTAGAACATATTTGTGTTAGCTGGGTCAATTGTTCAATAGACTCAATAGTTTAATCAAGAATATAGAGAGAAGGTTATTAAATTATTTGAAGCTTGGCAACTAATCACTAGCAAGGTCAAGCCATTGCACCAAATAGTAAAACACTCAAAATGAGGTCAAAAGAAACAATAAAATATTTTAACAATCATTGTTATTAGTCAACAATCTATTCAGCTCTTCAAAGAATTACAATTTTACATATTCAACAGATTCTTTAGTGCTACTTCTTCTTTAAAGCTACTTCTGAGAATGGCTCTGAATAATTGTAAATTATTTTTCGTTAAAAATATACAGTAAGGTCCAAACATCATTGCAAATCTGGGATTCACAATCTACTTTAAACTGGAAATAAACCAAATTTCAGGACTTTGAAAAAATAAAACAACAGAAATTTCAGAAAATTCAGAAAATTAAAATGAATAAGAATTAAGATTTCTAGGTGGTCACTAATCACTAAAAAAATGTGTGACAAGAACCATAAAAAAAAAACTGTGCATAAGGTCAATTTTTATATAAGAGGGTAGGGTAATATTTAAGGTGCTGTATAAGTATAATTTACACTACCGTTCAAAAGTTTGGGGCCAGTAAGATATTTTCTTTAAAGAAATGAAGCATACATTAAATAAATGTTGTTCTTTTGAACTTTCTATTCTTCAAAGAATCATGAAAAAAGTATCAAGGTATACATATTAAGCCTCACAACCATTTCCAACTATTTTTATATGAAAATAATGTTTCTTGAGCAGAAAATCAGCATATTAGAATGATTTCTGAAGGATCATGCTAAAGACTAGAGTAATGATGCTGAAAATCCAGCTTTGCCATCACAGGAATAAATTACATTTTGAAATATATTAAAATTGTTATTTTAAATCGTAAAAAATACTTCACAATATTATTTTTGATCAAATAAATTCAGCCTTGGTGAGCATAAAAGAAAACATTTATTTGATAAAAATGTATCAACCCCAAACTGTTGCACGGTTGTGTATATTGTACAGGTTTTCCTTTGAAATCAACCACCTTAATACTTTCATTTTATGATTTTTTTGTCCAGTAGGTGATGCTGTTACCTTCCACAACACTGTGACATTCTGAAGTCCATGTGTACTGGTCCTGTTGATGACTCTCCACACATCAAGTTTGTGTGAGGGTGCTAGAGCATTTTAAAACAAATTTCTTCTTATCAAAACATTTGCAGGTAAAACACATTTAAACTAACTTCATCTGACTATTGAAAATGTAAAAATAAATGTTAAGCAATTACCTATTCCAGGGCTGGTTATATTGAAGGGATGACTCCACATGCTGCAGTTTGTTGAAGTAACACACACCCTCAGCTCAAACTGATAGAGCATCAGCGGCTTTAAAGTTTCCTGCATCAAAATGCATCCAGCTTGGAGCTCTGTTACTCTTCCCAGGTCCTGATCAAATACAAGAGCAAAAATTAACTTGCTAATGGACAACTTGCTTTAAACCAGTACACATTTTTCACAAATCCTCTCACCCAATCCTGGTCATTATGCGCTCTTCTGAACCTTATACTTGGTTTCAGTACATCTTCTGAGCCATTCCAGTATATTGTAGGAGAAAGAGCACCATTTTCAAACACAACTTGTGTTATCTCTGGAGTGCTTGGAATCACTGAATAAAAACAATGTCATAAAATCAACATATGATTGAGGCTAGACAAATCTATGCACATTTGGTATGTCAAAACGTTATACCACTTTTACTGAGCAGAAGAAAAAGAGATCATGATATGATCAAAATGAGAAAGTGCTTCAGAAATGAGTAAGTGTGTGTAGTTTAGTCTCTTACCAATGTCCCAAATCGAGAAGGGGAAATTATAGTGCGACTCTCCTAATGCATTTTGACCTCTTACATGGACTGTGTAATTCATGTTCTCATCAAACAGCGATCGTTTAATAGAGAAATTATGGTCCTTGTCCATCTTATACAGGAGAAACTGAGATGTACTGTTGCTTTGCAAAGAGAGAAAGACATTGAAGAAAGATAAAGTAGAAGAAAGGCTGTTTCGATCTTTAATATGTTTGAGAAAAGACAAAGTCTTATTCAATATAAAATGTACAAGACCTACTTGATGTTATCAAACTGTCAGAAATAGGACATACTTACTGAAATGTTACGCTGAAGTTTGTAGATAAATGTGTTTCGGTTGTGACCGTCAGAGAGCAGTTAACAAACTCCGAATGTTGGTATGTGACGCAGCTGATATTCGGTTTACCTGGAGGGTCTAAAGCAGAAAATGAATTAATAGCTGATATTATTAACCAAAAACTGTTAATTGTCATGTTCACAACTATCTGTAATTTTGAACAAAAGAAAAACAAACAAGGGAATTATTAGCGTCATAACAGCATTATTACATAATACTTTCACGCATATTCAAATAATTAGAAATGTCACAGAACTTCGATTCATGTATTTTCTTATATATTTATATTTCATGTACGTGGTCTACAAATGTGCAGTCTTTTTTCTTCTTTTAATCCTTAAAAATCATTAGTCAATACATTTTTTGACTTGTTAATGTAATAATAAATGTGTCATTGCGTCTATATGGTGCAGAGCGTGTGAATACAGATAAACATACGAACTTACAGCCAGCTTGGAGATCTCTGCCGCAAACACTGTGCCATGTGTCTCCCTCCTTCACCTTGCAGAGTAGTGAAAATTTGGTCTGCTTGATGACTATTTGTGTTTTTATTACAGAGCAATTCATTGCTTCGAAAATGGTCTGTCCGTTGTAATCTATGGCAAAGAGTCTGCCACAGTGCCCAGTGTCTGATTGGCAGACTACAGTCAAGTTGGAGCCCATGGGGATGACATTTGAGTCTACTATCAACTTTCCAACACATCTGATTCCGTAGCAGTCTAAGCAGAGAGAGAGAAAGCACTATTAACATAAGCTTGATCATGGGACTTATTTAAACCAGCATCAATATAACAATCACAATAACTTAACTCACCACAGAATTTGCTACTGAAGAGGAGTAAAAAGACCAACTGCCAGACTATGATGACAAAATCCATGTCATGCCTTTCTGGGTCTCTGTGATTATCAGTGAATATTGAATCAAATATTCTTTCCTACACTTCATGCCTAAACCTTCAGTTTCTTCTCCTGCCTTCTCTGAAACAAACCAGCATGTTGTCAGAAAGAAATGAGGTTACCTTGCATGAGGATGTCACATAAAAGGGGTCATATCTGCGCCCATGTAAATATCAAAAGCATAAAAAAACCACCAAAGTAGAACGTTACCAATGATACGCTTGCGATATGTTTATACAGTCAGCATTCTCATGAGCGATAGGCTACTTAATGTTACAAGCGTAATCTTTTTTATGTCAACCTAGTTTTCTCAGACTTGCCTTGCTCTTTTAAGGGCCAATGACCTAGATCTGTGGTATTTTTGCCTGTACTGAAACTCCGAGAGTCTGTTTAAACAGTTAGGCATCCTACTTACTAAACCACCTTTTTAGTCAGCACCGTTTATTTATCATCTGCTATCAAACAGTCAGATTCTACTGTAACAGCAAACATGAACTAAAATATGCAGATATTACATTAACTTTACCTTTTAAGTCACAAATTACAGAATAATGTTGAAAAAATTATGTAATTGAAAGAAAGATATGATACGTCATATCTAGGCAGAAGAAGGGCATTTGTCAGCTATATTGTAGAAAAAGACTTGTACAAACCTTTCCTAATGCACTCAGAACAGTGATTTCTCCATTTGGGCTCCTCTGCTGTTGCCATCAAAAATGTAAATTAGCTGCTTTACATAACATCAGGTCACATTAGGAAAATGAGAACAATACATATTAATTTAGCAAATCCTTCTCACGAAGACCTATGATGTCTATCTTTAAACTTGTATTTTACATACAAAATAGCTCTGTTGATATCAAAAATATACTTGGACGTACTAAAGACAGAAATATGAGGCTCTGGAACATCCAAAAAAGGCAGATGTCCTCAATGCGTTCCCTCTCGCATGTGCTTAGCGTGTGAAAACAACACCACAGAACAACCTTCCTGCCTGCCCTAGATTTTTTTTATCTCTTTTACACTTTAGTTTCCACCTTCAACTTCAAAGTGTTTCTGGGGAAAACCCACTGACATAGATAAGGAGAATCTGAGATACAGAGTAATTTAAAGAATGCGCGAAATAACAGTATTAAGCAGAGGTGTTTATAATAATAAACAATAAAAATAATAAACTCCACATAAACGGTGGGAATGACTTGTTTACTGTAAAGGAGTGGAAAATTCAAAATGAACAAAGCAAAAGAAAACAATGTGGTTAGTGCCAGATCCACAATAACAGTTTGTACATATAAACCACAGGAAAGACCACAAGTCTTAAATAAAGTAAGGAGGAATAAATAAAAGAAATATTAAGATAACTAATTATTTGTATGTTGAACTTTATACATTTACTTGTGTTACTCAGAGATTTGGCGACAAAACCTCTTGTAATTACTCATATCCTTTGTCACCTCAAAGCATTTGATTGCACAATTGCTGACCTATGTAATGATTTTATCTCAGGAGTCATCTATCTTTAAAAGTCATATCTCTGTTAGACCACTTTAAAATCTTTTGAAGTGGGGAGAAAGATTCATAACCTATAATAATGGATGAATTATCAAATATTACTTAAAAAAATAATGAAGAAAAGAAGTCAAGAAAGAGTTTAAAAAGCAACTTAATCATATATATGTCCTCATTTTGTAACATAAAAACATCAAGCGTGCACAAAATGTGTTTTTTTGACCTCAATTCGTTTATCAGTCAGCACCTGATCCTTTAAACGGCTAATACCTAGAAAATGAAGACCTGTTTAAAATATCTAAGGAACGATCTCAAATGTGGGCTATAAATGATTGACTTTAATGAAATTGTGGCTTTAATTTTTTAGATAGAGGATAGAGGAAAAAGGAATAGGTAAGTTAGTTCTGATTTATTTTGTACACTAGGTTTAGGGGCATGTGCCATTCGTTGTCATTTTTGTTTTGATATATAGGTAGAGTTGGGAAGTATACGACGTCTCGGACGTTGAAGACTTTTCTTTCTACATTTTTCTTTTGTATTAGATAGGTTAGTTGAAATGGGTTAGAAAGCTTATTTTTGTTTTATTCTTTTCTTTGTGTTGGCAGAACTTGGCACTGTCCAATTATTCCTTTTTCCTCCCCAGGTCTGGTAATAGAATTTGCTGGTTTTCTTTGATTTTCATTTTGATTGTAAATAATAATTATTTGCTTCAATTGTTTTTTTCTTTGTTCTCTCTCTCTCTATGTACATATATATAGATATATATTTTTGGCCGGTTATTGCACACACTAAACGTGTTCACATTTTCTGCTGCTTCTTGATGGTCTCATTCACTTTCCCAGTGTTTTAATGGTAATAATTGTTGAAGGGTGGCCTAATGTTTCCCTTCTAACTCCCTAGACTTTAAAAAGCAGTGAAGGGTCGTAACAGTCGCCAATGTCGCGATAAATGTGTTAATATGGAGTCAAATACTCAGGCAGGGCAGCATATACCCTGATGCAAAACCTAACTCTAAACCTAAAATGAGTTTAATATGTCCTGACTCCTGAGGTAGGCCAGATTTACTGGACATAAGCCAGTGTGTCATGAGTAAATCCAGCTGATGTCTTTGGTCTGCATTTACCAATCTATCGGTTAATTTCTGAATATATATAAGAAAAAATACTAAACTGAAATGTGTCAATTCTGTAAAAGTTTATTGAAGGAATTCCTAAAACTTTTTGTTTGTTATTTCCAAGAATTAAATCAGCATTAGCAGTTCCATTGCTTTAATTAGAATTCACTTTCTCAGATTTCATCCATTAATGTGAGTGCCTTGTGTTTAAATAAACAAGTAGGCCTAAATTACTTGGAGAGTTATTGTACTATTTTGTTTTTATCTAAAATGCAAATCTGGTTTGTAGGACAACTTTTTTTTTTTTTTGAGGTCCAATAATCTGTGCACACAGTTTTGTAATCTTGTAAACGGTTCTCTCAGTTGAATAATTTGTGCCCACAGATTTATAAACTGTACTGACAAATTTTTAATCCGTGACTTCAATTTAAGAATTGATATGTACAGATTTGTGCACCCTCAATGTTGGATTTGTAAACTGTTCCCACGGATTTAGCCCCTGTAACTTTATTTAAACACCCTCTGCAAATTTAATCCAAAATATAATCGTGATTACGATTACAGCTGCTGTAATTACCTAATTGTAAAAGTGTTTATAATAGTATTGTTTTTATATTTACCTTAAAAGTTAGTACTTATAATATGTTTATGTTGCGTTGAGCATTGTAGCCAATCACAGACATGTCTGATTGTGGTGACAGGAAACTCTTTAAGAGGAACACTAGCTCAGATCAACTGATGGAGATTTCAGATCACTTCTTTATCCAATTCTTGCATCCCCTGCTACTTCATGCAGATACAAAAACATATATCCTAAAAGCCTTTCCAGAGTTTTTAGAAATGAAAGGATTGGTGAGTCATTTTTTAAACTAACAAGTGGGTGAATGTTGCTCCACATTGTTAGAAAGTGTCTAATTCTGATCCTCAGTCAATTAGAGACAATGAGATGGCCTACTTGGCATCAATAAATGTTGATCGTTGTAAAGCTTCAGCACAATGACATTTCAACTGCATCTTTTTTTGTTGTTTGTGACAACCTTGTCAGCACCTTAAGTTCTTAATAATGAGCAGTCTTTCTGTTGGTTTGAGAAACAGGTGTTAGTCCATCAAAAACAAATGATGTTAGTTAAAGGTGCTCTAATATGCCGGGTGACGTCACTTCTTGTTGAGTATTGTCAAACAAAACGGAGGCTAGCTAGACCCTCCCTCCTCCTCATCCCATCCCCTCCCTTCCGTTGCACATGCACTAACCCCCCACCCCCACATCAATCTTGTCGTTATTGGCTGGAACACTGTATGTTATGTTTCATGGTGGTGCGGGTTGGCCCAGTTTGTTTTTGTTGCCGTTTGTGGAGCCTGGGCTGTCTAGTACAGAGACCGCGTTTTTTTTACAGTGTTCAGGGGACAGGCAGCTAGCGGATAGTGAGGAGATGTTTGCTGTATGTGACAAAAACATGTTTCAGCCTAAAAAACGCGTGAAATCGCTTAGAGCACCTTTAAGATGATCTTTAGAGCATAATTTGCAACCTAAATTATATCAGAACTTTTGCACACTAACTGCATAAGTGTGCACACCCCTGAACAAGTAGTTTAAACACACTTTACACCCTTTTTTAATTACAGCAGCACTCAGTCTGTTTGGATAGAAGTCTATTAGCTTGGAACATCGTGACTTATAATATTTATAATAATACATATAATATTTCCCCACTCTTCTTTGCAAAAACGTTTTAGAGTTGTTAAATTGTGAGGTCATACTATGGAATGATATTCCAAACAATTTTCAAAAGCAATTGCAAATTGATAACACTATGATGTGATTAAAATCACATTTGGAATCTGACACCAGACATTTTACTGATATTTTAAACTGCTGCATGAACGCTGGCAACAACATTTATCAAACATAGGTTAGGCGCTTAAAAAAATAGTAAGATTTAATAATGACCTTACAATATAGGCTATCCATTCCCTTATTGAAAATCTGTCTTTATCAGTGTTTAAGTGCTATAATTGGGTCCCCGGTGCATCTACCAACCCAGAAAACATGAAGTGACAACCCAGTAATTTTATTTTGGTAAGCCTTTCTCTGCAAGCATGTCAAAAAATAAAAGATTTCGCTCCCCTTCTGACGTAAGGAAAGGGATTTTATTATAATATTCCCGCCCCGTAATGCACGTTTCCAGCCACTACACCGCTGTGTTGTGCCGAATTTCGACCCCCGCCAAATTATTGTGGGGGGAGGGGTTAGGATTAGGCAATCAGGTACTGACTTCAACGAGGGGGGTAATAATCATAGACAGTATAAGAAATGGACAGAGCCATCTCATTGGAACTCAGTTGAGACAGTTGAAGCCCATTTTTAGCGATTTTTGAGCACTTCCGTTCCTGACGCGCAGACTCAAACCGACTCAAACTAAGCTTGATGACGTGAGCAACCTGTCTGACAGACGTGAATCTTCTAGTAGCTGTGCGTGAAAATTGCCAACGTCAATCTTGCAGAGACGGGGAACTTGAGCAAAGAGTCCTTTATCGTGAGTGAGCGGGAGTAAGTATTCCGTTGCTTTTATGGACTCATTATCTATGGGCTTCTCTCTTGACGGGACGTCCCCCCGATTGCCTGTGAGCTTCTCCTCCTGTCTGTACGGTAATTTCTGTACAGCGCGACAGAGAGTCGAGTGGTTATGACGCAATCGTTAGCCTATTTTTACTAAAACTGTTTCTACGGGGCCATAATGTAACATAGAAGGTAATGGAGCCCTTTATACATTGTCGTGTTTCTTTAGAAATAAATAATGGACAAATGGAGTCTTTAAACGCCTCAGATGTAAAGTTATTCGCTGTCAAAGTGACACCAAAATGAATGGTAGTCAATGGAAATGCTAACGCAAGTGAAGTTCTGCTACAAGATGGCGGTACCCGGCCGGCTTCAACTTCCGGTCGATGGATTACCCCCTTGGTAATAATACATAGTTCCCACCATAGACATAATAAATACATAGACGCCCTATGGCCGCTTTGGAACAGTCCGCCATTTTGCGGAGGGCAAGACTGCACTGTAATCAAATAGGGCTGCAACGATTCATCGACAAAAATCGATAATAGAAATAGTCGACAATGAATTTCATTGCCGAAGTTGTCGCCAGACATGTTTTTTCTGACCGAGGCATCTCTCTTCAT